GGAGGGTAGTGGGGAATCAGAGAGATCTAACTTCAGACCTCAGAGAGGTCTAACTGCAGTGAATTCCTCCAAAATTTCTAAGCAAGAGTGTTCTGGGGGCTCAGGAGATGTGGGAAGCAGGGTGGCAAGGTTTAAGTTTGAACACAGAAGGGTGACAGAAAGGTTATTTATAAGTAAGGTTTGGTACTGAGTAATATGGCTAGAGGTTAGGAAGTGATAAGTTCTATTATTTAAGATGCCAAGAACCTGATGAAGGGTATAAACCTGGGTTGGCTGTCCATAAGTAAGTTTGTTAACTTCTCAGACAAGGAGGGTTGTGGCTGCCAGGGCCCTTAAACAGGATGTCCACCCCTTAGCAGTGTTATCTAAATTCTTAGAAAAGTAAGTTACAGGCTTAAAATCAGGGCCCAACCTTTGTCCTAACACACCAAGAGCAACTGTCCCCCATTCATGCACATACAGATAGAAAGGTTTGCTAAGATTAGAAAGGGCCAGGGTGGTCTATGGCCACACCAGCCTGAATGTGCCTAATCTTGTCTGATCTTAGAAGCTAAGCAGGGTCTTCTAATTTATATTGTGGCCAGGCCATATTGCAATAGAAGACTAAACATTTGGGTCAGAGGTCAGTAAGTTCCAAAGTTTACAAATTCTTAAGGAGACAGCCCAGTGGGGAGTCCTTGGGTGAGGTCAAATGAACATTGCCCATGATGGTATCTATGAGAAAGACCATCTTAGGAATGGTCATATGTTGACAGCAAAAAAAAAAAAAAAAAATGTTTGAGGGAGCTTCCCTGGCTCAGAAGGCCTTTGGAGCTCTGCTCAGATACCAGGTGTCCCCGAAATCTGAGTCAGACTGAGACCGAGAGATCTGGCCAGAAAACGGGTGTATACAAGTTCTGATCCAGACTGAAACCTAGAGATCTTCCCCAAAGCCAGGTGTCCGTGGGTCTGGGTGAAGATTGATGGGGGCAGTTAGGAGGCATGAGGCATTCCAAGTTAGCCCTGGTTAGGAAGAATCCCTTCCCTGGCACCCTTCCAAATGGTAGAACCAGCACTAGGTTTCCTTTTGACCAAACCAAGACAAAATATAGAAGATTTCTTATAGGAATTGGCTCATACAATTACAGAAGCCAAGGAAGTCCCATGATCTGCTATCTGCAAGCTGGAGAACCAGGAAAGCCAATGGTACAATTCGGTCCAAGTCTGAAGACTTTAGAATTGGGGAGCCAATGGTGTAAGCCCCACTCTGAGTCCAAAAGTTCAAGAGTCAGGAGTGTCGATGTCTCAGGGCAAGAGAAGATAAATATCTCAGCTCAAACAGAGAGAGCAAAATTCACCCTTCTCTGACTTTTTGTTCTTTATTTAATTTTATTTTTAATTGAAGAATAATAATTGTACATATCTATGGGATACCTAGTGATGTTTAGATACATATACTGTATAGTTATCAGATCAGAGTAAGCAGCATATCTATCATCTCAAACATTTATCATTTGTCTGTGTTAGGAACATTCAATATCCTCCTTCTGGCTATTTTAAGCTATATAACATAATATTGTTAACTATAGTCATGCTAGACTATAGTTAACTAGACTAGAACTTATTCCTCTAGCTGTAATGTTGTGTCTTTTAATGAGTCTCTCCCTATCCTCCCCCCCACCCCACACACACACCTTTTTGTTCTATTCAGGCCCTGGATAGATTGTAAGATGCTCACTCTCATTAGTGAGGGTGATTTTCTTACTCAGTCTGCTGATTCATATGCTAATCTCCTTCAGAAACACCCTCACAGACACACCAGAAATAATGTTTTACCAGTTACCTGGGCATCTCTTAGCTCATAGGTCCCCAGTAATGAACCTCAACCTAAAGGAAATTGTCAAAATGTCAGATTCAGAATTCAGAATATGGATGGCAAATAAGATGTATGGGATTGATGAGAAAGTTGAAAACAAACACAAAGAAACCAAAAACATAATTCAGGGCATGAATAAAAAATTATAAAAAGAGGTAAATGTCATAAGGAAACATAACAGAACTTAAAGAAATGGAAGAGTCATTTAGAAAATTTCAAAATACAGCAGAAAGCTTTAACAATAGACTAGACCACGCAGAAGAAAGAATCTTGGAGCTTGAAGATAAGGATTTTGAATTAACCCAGTCAGTGAAAAATGTAGAAAAAAAGAATAAAGAAGAATGCGCAATCACCCAGAAAAAAATGGAACTATGTAAAATGAGGTAATATATAAGAATCACAGGTATCCCTGAGGAAGAAAGAAGAAAAAGCAAAAAACATGGAAAACCTATTTGAGGGAATAAGTGAGGAAAACTTCCTTGGTATTTCTAGAGACTTAGATATTCCCATACAAGATGGTCATTGAACACCTGGAAGATTCATAGCAAATAGAACATCACCAAGATACATAGTCAGCAGTCTAGCCAAAGTGAAAATAAAGGAGAAAATCCTTCCAGCTTCAAGATGAAAGTGACAACAAACTTACAGAGGAAAACCCATCAGACTAACAGCAGACTTCTCAGCAGACTTCACAGTAGAGACTTTACAAGCCAGACCAGATTGGGGTCCCATTTTTAGTCTTCTTAAACAAAATAAATACCAGCCAAGAATTTTGTATTCTGAGAAACTAAGTTCCATAAATGAAGGAGAAATAAAGTCTTTCTCAGACAAGCAAACACTAAGGGAATTTGTCACCACTAGATTTGCCCTACAGAAAATGCTCAAAAGTGCATGGAACAGCACAATTTACATCCACCATTGTACAAACACCCAAAAGTTAAAGCTCGCAGCTCTTATAAAACAGCAGTACGAGGGGGAAAACAAAACAACAAGGTATCATTCAACACATAAAATTAACCATCACAGGGAACAAGAATTGTTTCCCCTTTGCCAAGGTAGATTGTGTACAAGGCTGGCACAGCCTCAATGGGGTAGCTTTCAAAAGGAATGGTTCTGGAGCTGAGTTAGTCTGGAAAGAGAGCCAACAAGGTAAGGATAGGAATAGATGAAGGTGAAACCAAGAGGAGAGCAGAGGTTAACAGCTGAGGTCTAAACTTGAAAGATGGGTGGACAGCAAGGCAATGATCAAGGGAAACTAAGGAGTTAGGAAGAGACAGTGGTGTGAATCACAGTTCTCCAGGGGCTAAGGCCACCCAAAGTTGTTGTTCTTCCTCTTCAACACCACCTCCATCCCAAACTAGGCAGAATAAAAAACAAGGGGTGAGCTGGCTTAGAGCACCAAGGAAACAAAATAAAAAGATTTTTAATTAAAAATGAGAAAAAGGGCCAAGCACAATGGCTCACGCCTGTAATCCTTGCACTTTGGGAGGCTGAGGTGGAAGGATCATTTGAGGCCAGGAGTTTGAGACCAGCCTGAGCAAGAGTGAGAGCCTGTCTCTACAAAAATAGAAAAATTAGCCAGATGTCATGGTTCCTGTAGTCCCAGTTACTCAGGGAGACTGAGGCAGGAGGATCACTTGAGCTCAGGAGTTTGAGTTTGCAGTGAACTATGAGTACACCACTGCACTGTAGCCCCAGGTGACAGAGCAAGACCCTATCTCAAAAATAAAATAAAATAAATTTTAAAAAAGAAAAAGGAAATAAATAAAGAAAAAAAGCTCATGCTCCCAATTGTGGTTAATCACTAATCTGCATTACCACCCTGTAAACTGGGATGAGAGAGAGGGAAGGAAGGAAGGAAGGAAGGAAAGGAGGGAGGGAGGGAGGGAGGGGCAACTCTGGATGTCATGTATCTACTCCTCAGCCTACAACCACAAGCAAGGCGCTTAACTTCTCTGAACCTGTTTCTTTTCTATAAGATGTGGAAAATAGTTTCTACCTCATGAAGTTATAGCGAGATTAAAGGTAAAGATAATTATACATACAAAGGGTTTAGCAGGATGTTTAAAACATCATAATCATTCAGCAAAAGTTAAACATATTAAGGAGGCTACTGCTCTAATTATTAATATATAGATTCCAGTCGGAGCTGAGCCCTACACCTTTAAGTATAAAGAGCAATTGAAGACCTGAGAACAGGTGTTAATCAGACAACTGAAACATTGAGACATGTGATAAGAGGTGGCTGGCCAGTGCTCACAGACCCCAAGTGAAGTAGCCAATACTTCATTAAGCAACCCTTACAGAGAAGGCTTATCAATTACAGGGCTCCGAGCTGTTCCTCCCAGCCCTCCGCTCCTCCGATGCTCTTTCTGTCTCTTCCTCCTCCTTGCTGTGCACATGTCCTCCACTTTTCCTGCCAGCATCTGTGCACATTATGACCTGTGCACCTCCCCAGGGGCAGAAGCAGGCCCTGCTGAGGATTGCTAAGCAGGCTTTCTGTTCTGGAGGTGTTGCAGGCACAGCCCTCCTGTCGGTACAATTCCGCTGTGTCTCCTCCCAGCCAGTCAGGTACCCACCATCACCTCTGATTGCCTGGTCCTGTGAAGAGCCGAATCCTTGCCCCCACTCACTTGGCCCCAGTGAATCCCATGTTTCCTGCTTTGCCTGGTCCCTGGACCTGTCTAATGTCTATTGGTCAAGCCCTGGCCTGACTTCCCACCCAACCTCACACCCTCCATTCCCCAACCCACCTCACCACTATGGCAGCCATAGTGCTTTGGAAGGCCACTCTGGAATATAAGCTACATAACGATAGGGAATTGGGGTCTGCTTCATTAGCTGTTCTGTACCTAAATCAGTGCCAAACATTAGCTGTTCTGAACCTAAATCAGTGCCAAACTTCTATTTAAAACTTACACACAGAATTTAGAAGTTGGAAGAGACTTTAAGGATACTTTGTCCAACTCCCTCATCTCAGAGAAAATAAATGAAGGCCAGGTGTGGTGGCTTATGCTGGTAATCCCAGCACTTTGGGAGTCCAAGGTGGGAAGACCTCTTGAGCCCAGGATTTCGAGACCAGCCTGAGCAACATAGTGAGGTCCCCATCTCTACTATAAGTAGAAAAATTACCCAGGCATGGTGGTGCGGGCCTGTAGTCCCAAGCTACTTGGGAGATTGAGGAAGGAGGATTGCTTGAGCCCAGGAGGTAGAAGTTGAGAAGTTGCAATGAGCTCTGATAACATGACAGAGCGAGACTCCATCTAAAAAAAAAAAAAAGATAGAGAGAAGAAATGGAGAAGGAAAGCAAGGTCACAAATGCCACCTGGTGGTAACAGGATTTTCCAAGTCACATAGCAAGCCCTGAGTTAGCTCACTGTTGCCCCCTCTTGGCCCAACTGGCAAACCAGTTTCTTGGTTTGTTCCTTTTTTCAAAAAAATGTAAAACCTTATAAAAATACCTGCACCTTAAACTTCATGAGCACTGGAAAAAACATACAGTATTTCTAAGAACAAAAACTGCCAAATGGTGTCTGCTTCTTAAAGTCTTCTGAGGGAAGTATATTGAGATAATGTAATCCGGAAGAGAGTCTAGAAAGAAGACAAAGAAAAGAATAGTTTAGAAGCAAAATCTAATTGTCATAGGAGACACATAAGACCCATAAGAATAAGAAGAGAAAGGAAATAGATACCTTGAAATTTGTGTCCATTTCTGAACTTTCCTACTGCTTCAAAATTTAAAATAAACGTCAGCAGGGGTACAAACATTCCCTAAGCAATCCCAGAACTATGGATAGGCAAGCAGAAATGGATGGGTAGCAACTCCAACAGAAATTTTAGCTCATTTATTCTTTCTTTTTTTCATTCATTTACTCACTCAACAAACATTTGGTGAGCACCTACTATGTGTGATGGCCGAGAAGCAGCAATGAATAAAGCATGACACCTAATTTCAAAGAACTCGCATCTGATAGAAAAACAAATGGGTCCAGAAGCAGCTAGACACGGTTTGAGGCAGGTGGAGAAAGGGCAGCGAGCCCTCCAGGGAGAAGGAGTAGCAATGTGACAGCTTAGAGACGTGTGTAGTGACCACGTGGCTTTAATGGCTGCACTTCTGGGTATGGAGAGGGTGGACAAAGATATAGAGAAGCCAGGCCGGGCGCGGTGGCTCACGCCTGTAATCCTAGCACTCTGGGAGGCCGAGGCGGGAGGATTGCTCAAGGTCAGGAGTTTGAAACCATCCTGAGCAAGAGTGAGACCCCGTCTCTACTAAAAATATAAAGAAATTAATTGGCCAACTAAAAATATATAGAAAAAAAAATTAGCCGGGCATGGTGGTGCATGCCTGTAGTCCCAGCTACCTGGGAGGCTGAGGCAGGAGGATTGCTTGAGCCCAGGAGTTGGAGGTTGCTGTGAGCTAGGCTGATGCCACGGCACTCTAGCTTGAGCAACAGAGTGAGACTATGTCTCAAGAAAAAGACATAGAGAAGCCAGATTGTGGAAATTTGTTTGCTTTTCAGCTAAGAAAACCTGAAGAGTCTTTTCCAAGAATTTGTTTCTGCATAGTCTGAACTGTCAACTTACTGTTTCATAGGAAAGTAACTGATTTATTCCCAAGGGTCAGTGAGTCATTCCTTCCTCTTTCTCCCTGTTCTTACTTTTTCCTGCCACACAGCAAGTGTGACTGGCAGCACCTAGGCAGGAAGGCAGGGAGGCAGGAGGCCCTCAGATACATGTAGTTCATACTCACACCTAAAACAATGCCCAATAGATACACACTGCTCTGGCTTTTTGTGGGTGTCAGGATTTGAGATTTTCTCTTCTGGGGAGTCTCAGGGCTTTCAGTATCTCAGGACCTTTTGCCTTAGGAATTAGCCTCCCATTTCACTACCCAGCAGAAGTTAGGGGCTGGGCAATGAAGCATTCCATTCCCACAAAACACTGGTGACTTCTCCAAGATCTAGAAAACACTGAGCTAATTCTTCCTCCTCCTTCACACTCAGATGCCAGGCTACTGCCCTTGAGTTAAGCCATTCTGGTTCTCTTCAGATGCAAAGGGTGATAAGACTTTCCAACATAGATTTGCATTTGTAAGTCAGTCCCTTCAACAACTGTGTATTTATTTGCAGGAATCCTGCTACCTGGGATGCCTGAATCCTACTAAAGAATGTTCTCCACCACAGTAAGGGAGTAAACTAGGAGAGAGGAAGACACAGGATCCAGGAAACAACAGAGAGGGGAAAGGACTTCTCAGGGTGGCGAACTGGAGAAGTCTCAGAGTGAGAGCCATGCAGCAGGACCAGAGCACCCAGTAAAAGATATTATCAACTATAGGAAAAAATAGAGTTGTTAGAAAGGAAATGGAATCATAGTACCCTACATGGCTCAAATGACAGTTGTGGGGAACACTCTGGCAAGATCACTGACAGCCCCAGAATTGCTTCCCCAACTATGACATTTTATTATCTTTTTAAATAAGCATAAATATTAACTAGTTAGTAACGCTGAATTTTGCTGAATACATAATTGGAGCTAGATTTGGGGAAAAGATATCCAACTTTAAGTTTATTTGTTTTAAATAAAATTTTACTGGTTAATCTCTGAATCTTTGTTTAAATGGGTCAGTCTTCCTGCAGAACCCTGTCTTCAGTCTAAATCCTCCCATTTCCATCTAGCCAATTTCCTAGACCTTAGAGTTTGCTTCTTTAAAAAAACTTTTTTTGTTCTTTATCTCTTGGTGTTTTTTTTAAATATTTTTTTCAAATACTACACATACATATATATATATCAATTATTTGGTCTGTTTCTTATGCTATTTCCTCAGTATTTAGAAATGATATATTGTTCTGCCCTTTCTTGATTTTAGACATTATTTATTGACTTCCTGCTATGGGGATGAATATTTGACTCTCTTATCCCCTGTTTCCCTACATTCCCTCTATAACCCCCCAAGAACACACAGGCCTTTCTGCCTACCCTGCCAGGTTATGTTGTAACATGGCTTTTTGTTAAATTATAATTCACGTTTATGCCAATATGTATTTATATTTGAGCCATGTAGGGTACTATGATTCCATTTCTTTTCTAACAACTCTATTTTTTCCTGTAGTTGATAATATCTTTTACTGGGTGCTCTGGTCCTGCTGCATGGCTCTCACTCTGAGACTTCTCCAGTTCACCATCCTGAGAAGTCCTTTCCCCTCTCTGTTGTTTCCTGGATCCTGTGTCTTCCTCTTTATTAGCTTACTCCCTTACTATGGTGGAGAACATCCTTCAGTAGTAGCTTGCTGAGAAAGAACGCATGGAAGGAAAATTTCTGAATACCTGTTGGTGCCTATATTTTCGTTTAAACCTTGATTATTACCCTGAGTGCTAATTATTTTTCCTGGTCTAGAATTTTGGGCTGAAAATCATTCTTCAGAATTTTGAAGGCATTGATCCCTTAGGATCTTCTGGCTTCCAGGACTGCTGAAGTCTCATGCCACTCTGATACTCAGTTTCCTGTTTGTGACCCACTTTTTTCCTCTCTTAAAGTTTTAAGAACCTTTTTTCTATTGCTGGTGTTTTAATATAATGTTTTTTGATTTTGTAACTGGGTCTGAGTCTTTTTTTCAGTCATTATTCTGAGAACCGAGTGGGCTGTTTCACTTTAGAAACATGTTTTTTATTTCTAAGAAAAATTTTTATATTATATCTTTCTTAAATGTCTCCCCTCTGTTTTCTTTACTCTCCTGCTGTGGTTTGAAGGTGTTCCCCAAAGTTCATGTGTTGGAAACTTAATCCCCAATACAACAGTGTTGAGAGGTGGGAGCTTGAAGAGGTGATTAGATCATGAAGGCTCTGCCCTTGTGAATGGATTACTGCTGTTATCTCAGGAGTGGGCTACTTATCAGGAGAGTGGGTTTCTGATAAAAGGATGAGTTCTGCCCCCTTCATCTCTCTCTCTCTCTCACTTATTCTTCACCATGCGTGATGACTTCTGCCATGTTATAACACAGCAAGAAGGCCCTCACGAGATGCTGCTCCTTGATCTTGGACTTCCCAGCCTCCAGAGTAATGAGCCAAATAAACTTCTATTGATTATAAATTACCCAGTCAGTGAGATTCTGTTTATAGCAGCACAGAATAGACTAAAACATCCCCCTTTCTGGAACTTGTGTTTTTCAGGCGTTGGGATTCCTGGGCTGATTCTTTAACTGTCTTACTTACCTTTTCTCTTCTATTTTTCTCTTTTTGCCTTTTGTTCTACATTTTATTTTTTTGCTTTTTGTTTTTGTTTTGTTTAGAGACAGGATCTTACTCTGTAACCCAGGCTGGAGTATAGTGGTCTGATCATAGCTCACTGTAACCTTGAACTTCTGGGCTCAAGCAATCCTCCTGCCTCTGCCACCTGAGTAGGTAGGACTACAGGTATGTGCTGCCATGCTCAGCTAATTTAAAAAAATTTTTTTTTATAGACGAGGTCTCACTATGTTGTCCAGGCTGGTCTTGAACTCCTGGCCTCAAGCAATACTTTGTCTCAGCCTCCCAAAGTGCTGGGATTAATGTTCTACTTTCTAAGAGAGTTTGTCAATTTAGTCTTACAAAACTTCCATTGATTTTTTAAAAAATTTTCTCTTTTTAAAAATTTTTCTAGAGCTCTTCCTTATTCTCTGATTTTTTTCATTTTTTCTTATTCTGGCATTCTATTCCTATGTTTACATAAAATGTCTTCTCATAAATCTCTAAGAATATCAAGCATAAATTGGGGGGGGGTCTTACTTGATTTTTTCTGCTCCATGCCTTATCTCTCTTCTTCCAAATTTCTTCCCCCCACCCTCAGATTCAGTAGGTTTGGAGACTGTCTTCATGTTGGAGGCCTTGCCCAAATATCTTATTATCTTAGATGACCATTTATATTCCAGAATAAATTACTCACTATTTGATTGGAAGTTTTGTGTGTAATGAATGTGATTTGTCAATCCTGGTTGTGAATGAAATAGGCAAGCTAATCCACTGAGAGTCAAAAAGGGGGAAGAGAAGTTCAAGGTTTCTCTCCCACCTAAATTTTTTTTTTATAGTATATTAAAATATTTAAAATTTTATTATAAACTATTTCCTTATATCACATGTATGGTATTATATTAATTTGGGTTGAAATGGTATGGAATCATATGCAATTGTCTACAAATTTCATTGAAGTGGAATAAAGGAAACATAAAATATTTATCATAGATATACAAATAAACATGTTACAAAATATATAAATATGTTACAAACATAAATATAAAGGGGGGCAGTCTGATGAGGTTGAAAATCACTGTAGTATATACTACCTACAACTTGCTTTTCTCATTTAATAATAGCTCTTAGACATTTTTGCATATGTCACATTGGTATATCATAGTCTATTCATATATTTCCTATCAATGGACAAATAGGTTTTTTCTAATTATGCTGCTGTTAGAACATGTAATGAAATCTTTCACATGCATTTTGTGACATGTGTAAGTATTCTCAGGTAGATACTGAAATGTGAAATCGGTATATCAAGATTTTATATTTGGGTGGGCGCAGTGGCTCACCTCTGTAATCCTAGCACTCTGGAGGCAAGGAGGGCGGATCGCTCAAGGTCAGGAGGTCGAACCAGCCTGAACAAGAGCAAGACCCTGTTCTTACTAAAATAGAAAGAAACTAATTGGCCAACTAAAAATATATAGAAAAAATTAGCCAGGCATAATGGCACATCCCTGTAGTCCCAGCTACTTGGGATGCCGAAGCAAAAGGATTGCTTGAGCCCAGGAGTTTGAGGTTGCCGTGAGCTAGGCTGATGCCAGGGCAACAGAGTGAGACTCTGTTTCAAAAATAATAAATAAAGATGTTTCAGTTGCATTTCCCTATACTAGTTAGGTTGAACCTTTTTTTGTTTGTTTGTTTGTTTTTGAGACAGGTTCTTGTTCTGTCACCAGGCTAGAGTACAGTAGCATCATCATAGCTCACTGCAGCCACAAACTCCTAGGCTGGGCTCAAGTGATCTTCCTATCTCAGCCTCCCAAGTAGCTGGGACTACAGGTGTGAGCCACCACACCTGGCTGACATGCTATTGCCTTGGTTATTTGGCAAGTCCTGTCTTTTGTCATTTCTTTTCTTTTGAGTCTATTTGTAGTTACCCATATATTCTAATTATAAATTATTTAATACAGATATTGGAAATTACTTTCTCTTAGTCTGTTGCCTATGTTTTAACTTTTGACGTACAGAAATTTCAAATTTTTGATAGTCAAATTTGTCAACCTTTTTCTTCATTGCTTCATTGTTTTTGGCCTTCTCAAAGGCAGCTTTCTTTGCAACAACTGCATAATTCTCCATTGTATGGATGTACCATAATTTATAAAATTCTCAATATTGGAAATTTAGGTTGTTCCATCCTTCCATTAACATAAATGTTGTGAAAAACAGCTAAGTGTTCAACATGGTATTTTTAGCACATATCTTAGTGCCTTAGCAAATAGAGCATAGTAAATGTTTCTTGAATGGGAATAAGGAAGAAAGGCCGGAAACTTTTTCCATACTCACATTCAAGATGATTATTTTAAAATGTTGGCCAATGTCAACAAAATTATTGGGAATAAGCCCTACAATGATACTCTTCCTTTCAGCATGGTTAGTCAAGTGTTTACTCTGGGCCAGGGGCAGTGGCTCACGCCTGTAATCCTAACTCTCTGGGAGGCCAAGATGGGGGGGATTGCTCAAGGTCAGGAGTTCAAAACCAGCCTGAGCAAGAGCGAGACCCTGTATCTACTATTATAGAAATTAATTGGCCAACTAAATATATAGAAAAATTAGCCAGCATGGTGGCGCATGCCTGTAGTCCCAACTACTTGGGGGCTGAGGTAGTAGGATTGCTTGAGCCCAGGAGTTGAGGTTGCTGTGAGCTAGGTTAACGCCATGGCACTCACTCTAGCCTGGGCAACAAGTGAGATTCTGTCTCAAAAAAAAAAAAAAAAAAAAAGAGTTTACTCTGCTTCTAAAATCTAGACACATTGGGCAGGAGGATTGCCTGAAGCCAATAGTTCAAGATAAGCCTGTGTAACATCTCTACAAAAAACTTAAAATTAGCTGGATGTAGTAGCATGAACTATAGTCCTAGCTACTAGGGAGGTTGAAGCCAGGAGGATTGCTTGAGCTCAGGAGTTGGAGGTTGCAGTGAGCTATAATCACACCACTTCACTCCAGCCTGGGCAACAGAGCAAGACCCTGTCTCTTAAAAATAACAAAAACACACACACAGAATCAAAGCTTCACCTTCCTCCTAAGACTGCCCTTCCAAGGGGTGGAACAACTACCTATGACAGTCCTGTGATCACATACCTGAGTCCTCCTTATCCTGACTTCATTTTAGGATGCTTCTTGCTTGGTGAGTCTTCAAGGTTTATTTTAGAAGGTGGAGAATGGCCTGAGATGAGGTAGAGGAAGAGAGCTCATTTTCAGGAGTCTGGGCAGCTACAGATCCAGCAGATGGGGTCCATATTCCATAGGTGGGGCTCTGTAGCCTGGAGGTGGGGTCCATATCCCACAGGTGGGGCTCATATCCACAGGCGGGCCTTCATTTCCATAGGTGGGCTCTATCCCACAGGGGGCTTTGCTCCATATCCCACAGGTGGGTCCATTCCCACAGGCAGGCCTTCATTTCCCATAGGTGGGGCTCTGTTCTCTGGAGGCAGGGTGCCGTATCCCATGGGTGGGGCTCCATAGACAATTACTGAACAAGGTGTCTGTGGAGTGCACATATTCCCTTGACTAGTAACAAAAATTTGTATAGGGCCAACCAGGCATTTACAGGTCTAAGTGGAACTCCTTGGGCAGCAGCAGAGGCAGCTTTGCTCATCAATTGGCAAAGTGGATTGGCCCTCCTCTGTGAAGACTAGTTTAAAAGTAGCCTGTCCTTCCCAGCCACCATCTGGAGCTGCCTGAATAGTTCCTTTAATGTAGTTTGCAGCAAAGACTGGTTGTTCAATGGTACAGTTCTTCATCAGGTCAAATGGCATCATAAAAGACAACATGGGATAATTTACTGAGCGGGAAGTCAAGAAAATCACCTAAGCAAGGAAAGAAACCAGTGTGAAGTGAGAACCAATGTTCCCCTCTTAGTACCACTAAAGAGGTTGGAGCCCTCTGGTTGCTGTGGGAAGGAGAGCTCCACATCTGGAGACTGCATCAGGAGACTTTCACCATAGGCGATGACGACCCCACGGCGGTCCTGGCTGTGGGTCTGGTTTACCGCCATCTTGCTTCGGGCCCCTTCCCCCCACCTAAATTTTGCTTTTGGTTCAGTTGTTTGTACGTGGTTCAAACTCTAAATCAACCTATCTAGCACTCCGGAGCAGCTTGCTGTCAAACAAAACATAAATGACTTTCTTCTTATTTGAACCTTTGTCTTTTGCTAAGACTGTTGAGAATTCAAGGAAACTTTTAGGATAAAGATTCCATTTTCTTCTTCCTTCTATCAAAAGCAGGAAGAGAAAACACACAGTGGAATAGGTCACGGATCTTTGTGAAACCTCCTGATGGTCTTCAAAGCTTGTGTCCCATAACCACCTGGCACAGATGCTCCTTAAATACGTGTCAGACCCACATATTTGAACACTTCTTACATGTTGTATATTGGAAATGCAAAGAAAGGTAAGAATGGGCTTTGCTAACAGTTCAGGGGAGAAGACAGACACTTAAACCCACACTCGATGTTGTGCTTGTACAACACAATACAATACTCTTCTGAAGTCTTTTACTAGGGCTAACTGGAAGACAAAATGGTCAAAAAGCTAGTCGGATGCAGCTTGTGATAATCGTGACTGTGAGTTCCATGAAGGGTGGGAATTTATCCACATCTCTTCTACAGTGTATCTTCAATAGCTAGAACAGCATAGGTGCGTCAAAGATGCTCACGCTCAGTAAATACCTGGTGCTTACAAGAATGAACAAGTACCAAAATACTTATACCTTAGACACTGGGCAGACATCATGGATTTTTTCCCCATTTTTCAAAATTTATTATTAATATTATTTTGACTGACAAATCATAATTATGTACATTTATGGGGTACCATGTGATGTTTTGATATATGCATACAATGTAGCATGATTAAATCGAGCCAACTAACATATCCTTGCTTACCTCTCATTTTTTATGGTGAGACATTTGAGATGTACTCTCTTAGTTATTCCAAAATATACATCATTACTGACTATAGGCACCCTGCTGTGAGATTGATCTCAAAACCTATGCCTCCTGTCTGTCTGGATCTTTGCACCCTTTGATCCACATATCCCCACTTCTTCTGAAGTCACAGAGTTTTAAGTTGAAGAGTAACACGGCATTTCTTAATTTAGAATTAACCTCTGGCTGCCTGGTCAGGAAGGTGACTAGGAATGAAAAGACTACAGAAGGAGAGAGTGGGCAGGAGGCTGTGGCAGTGGGCCAGGCAAGGAATAAAGGGAAAGTGGGAGCAAGGACAGGGCGTGGTGGGGAGAAGGAGGGCCCCTGAAATGATGCCTGAATTTCTGTCTCGGACAACAGAAGGAAAACAAGGGGAGTGGGAACAGCCTGAGCGTGGAGCAGCATTCATCCTGAGAACATCATGATCCGGGAGAAGAGGTCCCAGGAGAGAGCCACCCAGACAACTGAGGGCAGCAGGTCAACGTGTCAAGTGCCGGGAGAAACCAAGAATGACAGAACTGAGGAGTGACCACTGAATTTAGCTATTAGGATGTCACTGGAGGGGGCAAACCAGCAGCAAGTTGGAGAATGAAAGGTTGATGATCTGGAGACAGCAAAGGCAACTGTTTCAGAAGACAACTGAGAAGAGGAGAGAGACAGGGTACATTTGGACTGAGAGTTTCCTGCCGTGGCCTAGGACAGAGCACTGACCTCAGGCCTGAAAATAGACCCTCCATGAGATGCAACTGTCTGGGGTCCCAGCAGTGTCCAGCTGCAGGTCACAGTGCCTCCTCTGCTCTCTGCCACACGTCAGGATGACGATGCAGTGTCCATTCTCACTGATCCCGGAGCTCAGTGTGACATGTGGCTGGTCCTCTCTGTGTGCAAAAAGAGAAACTGAAGACCAGAAAACTGTTGTGGGCCTCCACTTCACTGGGCAGTGAACAGTTTTTAAGACAAGACTCGCCTTATCTGTTCTTTTGTCATAGGTCCAAGAGATGACTCTGTGGACAGTGACCTCTGAGGGCCGGTCCCAGGTGCCATGCGCGGAGGGAAACGCACAGGCGTGCGTGCCCCACAGGGCAAGAGGGAAATGGGGTGAGAGAAGCATTACAGCAAGCCAGCTTCTTGGTTTCAGATCTGTGTGTTTATTCAGGGACACTGTGGTTCTCTGAGACTCTGAGGCTGCTACATTCTCACAGTCGGGCTGTGCTGACTTTCAGTTTTGCAGATCACCAGCCATGTGCCAGAGATGTCACCTAACCTCTCTGAGCCTCAGTTTATCACCCATAAAATGAGTGTAATACTACCTACCTTATCCCTATCACAAGATTGTCAGAGAGATCACATTTTTTGAAATTCAAGTTAAAGTTCTTTATAAACTGCCAAGTTTTAAACACATCTAGGGGATTCATCGGTGCGTTAAGGGGACAGCCTAAAGGCTGGGGTGGGCACCACTCTGAACGTAGGTGACTCTCCAATAGTCAAAACAAGCTGGTCTTTCCTGTGAAGGAGAATGGAAGTGAAAGCTTAAAATCCTTGAAACTAAGGGCAGGGCCTGGCACCTTCCATGATATTCCTCAAGACCTCTGTCTCCCTAATCCCATTCCCAAACCCATCACCCCCTGCCTTATCTCGGATCCTTAGGGTTGATTGGCAAGAATGCACAAGGACAAGAACTGCCATCACGTGCCAGGCTTGAGACCCCCCCCCCTCCACTGAAGTCATTTATGGGACACGGAAAATCCAATTCATGATGAAGAGTGACCCCTGAGGCTGGCAGGAGAAGGAGGAAGGGGAAAGTGACAAAAGAGGACCAGACACAGAACACAAATCCCAAGGTACCACATCCCTGTGGATCCTTTAAAACCTGAATGTCTCCAGAAACATGCTCAGGATGGCGAGATGCAAATTAGTGGGCCCTGAAACTGGCTGTGGCCGATCCTCTATCTCAGGCCTCCCAGTTCGGCCTCTCTGGAATGCCCAGCCTCCTTGTGATTGATTCATGGGTAGAAGAAATGTGAGGGTGACAAGCACACGGTCTAGTCCTGCATGATCTGAGATTAGAACACACGCGTGCACACACACACACACACACAGAGCCTGGCTCCTATAGAGGCAGCATCTTGAGTGAAAACTGCCCATTCCTGGAGGAAACCAGCGTTCAGGGCGGGCAGAAGAGCCTAGGGGGCAGTGGGAGGGGTGGACTTATCCGTGAAAAGACCGAGGAGGAGCCAGGACTGTGGTGGAGGATGGCCCACGATATTCACCAGCATACTGACTGCTTCACGGCACCTGATGGACTTTGTGTGTATAAACTTCAGCCTACAAACATTTCATTTCCCATTTTTAGCATCACACTTTAATCACATGTAGTGTTTGAGTCACAAGATATGAAGATGAGGGGACGCAAAAGGGAGAAGGCCTAGAAGCACTGGAGTGAGCTATTAATATTTAAAAGCCAATGCTACCAATGCCATAGGCCTGCTTTAAACCCTTCAGAGGTCTGCAGCCCCCACAGGCCTAAAGTGCAGGGTCAGAGTGGTCAGCCTGGTAGACAAGCCCCTTCGTGATCAGCCTGAGTCTTGCCAACCTCCCTGGCTCACATTCTGTCACCAAGTCTCCCGCCTTGGGCTCCAGTCACCGTAGAACTGCTTCTAACGCAGTCCCCTTAGGGCTTCTCACATCTGCAAATGCAACCCTGTTACTCAGGCAGTTTTACTTCCTGGATTGCCCGGTCCCTGCCACCTGCCTCGCCAACCTCACCCTAACAGCTTCCCATTGCCCATCTCCAGCCCTCACCGCCTTGAAGCTGCGGGCTAGGATGGTGCTAGGACATCTATCTCCTCTTGCTGTTGGTTCTCGGGCCTTCAGCCGTGGACTGGGACACTTCTGTCAATGGCCCTCCGATCCTGGGCCTTTGGACTCAGAGCGGGTCTTATACCATCAGCTCCTCTGGTTCTTAGGTCTTCAGACAAAGGCTTTGCTGGTTCTCCAGCTTGCAGACATCAGATTGCAGGACCTCTCAGCTTCCTTAATTACATGAGCCGATTCCTATTAAAAGAAAAAAAAAAGGAAATAAATATATATTCAGGGCACTATTTCTAAAGAGACACCTGACTAATACAACCAGCTTGTGGCATTTGACACTGGGACCCTCCCTGCTTGAAATGCTCTCTTCTCGTGCACTCCAGAATATTATAATACTCTCTCCCTGGGTTCTCCTCACTCCTTTACTCAACACACACATATCGAGCTCCTGCCAGGTGCCACAGAGGCGCCGTGCTAAGGTCTGGGGACGTAAAGACGAAAGGAAGTATCTGCAGTCATGCTGCTCAGAGATTAGTGGGGAAGAAAACTGTGTCAGTAGAAAATAAAGTAACATGGGGTGGTTTCACTTCCTGCCTGGGTGCAGTGGGGGTGGGCCTGAAGCTTTTGAGTGTAAATCCTGCCTCTGCTGCTTGCTAGCCATGTGACCTTAGCAAACTATCTACCAGTTGGTAAGAGTTCTCCATTATAAGTTCTCCATTTATTTCCTTGAAGATGGTTTTTATGCATTAAAAAAGTTATTCATAGACTATATTGCTTTTAAGAATTCATATTCAATTTATTAAAGGAATGAATTAAAAACTTAGGTCTTAAGTTCAGTTCAGCTTACAAGTCATAATATTCTGTTTACAAATTGGGCAAGTTTAACTACCTTTTTTAGAGACTATTGATAATATTTGACTCTTTTCACAAATTTACAAGTTGATTCCCTTTTTATCATCACCAACAAAGGCAATATATTTAATTTCATTTTATATTAATCAACAAATATTTTAAGAAGGCTTAATAAGTGTAACACACTAAACTTATTAGTACGGTAATTCTTAAGTTGTCCTAAAATATTCAATGCTTCATGTCAACTTGGTGAGATTTCCAACTGAAATCACAAATGTAATCAGTTACTCAATTACATAGTTCAAATCAGAACTACAGATGTCTCAGTCTGTTCAGGCTGCTATAACAAAAATACCTTAGACTGGGTAATTTATAAATAATAGAAACTTATTTCTCACAGTTCTGGAGGCTGGGGAGTCCAAGATCAAGGCACCGGCAGATTCGGTGTCTGTTAAGGACTCACTCTCTGCTTCCAAGATGGGGCCTTGTTGCCACACCCCCTGGAGGATGAACACTGTGTCTTCACATGGCAGAAGAGTGGAAGGGCAAGAAAAGGCCAGGCACCTCTCTGAAGCTTCTTTTACAAGGACATTAATCCCATTCATGAGGATTCATGACTTCATCACTTCCCAAAAGGCCTCACCTCATCATACTACTATTACCTCGAGCTTTAAGTTTCAACACAGGAATTTTACAGGAACACATACATACATTGAAACCATAGCAACAAAATTTCCTATAACTTTAATAAGCTGAATTTTCTCAAACAATACATATATCAAAAATATTAATTGATTACCTTAAACATGTCTATTCGGTATTCTTTATCTTTCCAGGATTGAAAGATTCATAACCACCAAGGAAACAATCACATCATCCCAACTGCAGCTATGTCCTGAGATGCCTTCTCAACTAGCTAAGCTTTCTTAATGGCCAGAAATTTCACTGAAACATTACCTGATGGCACCTTCCAATGCCCCCTTTTGCTTGCTTTGTTGATGCCCTGTAAAAGGCTGGTCTCATAACCTAGATCCCTAGACTGGAGTTGCACGCCGTGACATTACCTGCTTCTTCCCTCTATTATAGCTATAACGCTTGATTTGGTGTTTCATTTCTTTAGCTCTTAAGATATTTAATTTTCATCCCATCTAGGTATAAAGAGCTTCAAGCTTGTCAAAATTGTATATCCTTTTCACAGTCTTCCAGTCTGGAGGAGAATGAATATACATATTAGAACTCCACACAATATTAAAACATAAAGTCCAACAAATGCAGTTGTATAAAAAATGCAGTGTCCTCTTGGTTGCAAGGTTAATGACAGGCCAGTGGGGACTGGTGGTGAACCTAAGCAGCTGAGTTTAGGGCTGTGGCTGCTGGACCCAAGTCTCAGCCCAGGCTGCAGTTTGATGCTACCTGGGGTCAATGCCCAGCTGAGGGGGTTCTTCTGGGACCTGTGTCTGGCTGGATTCCCAAGACAGTAGCAGGGATTACAGAAATTTTCCAGTCAGTTGCATCCATTTGCTGGCCTGGTCCAGGGACAATAAGAAGGGAAAGCACTGGAGATGCCGGGACAAACACCACTGCATGTTGCTCCCCGACCCCAGCACTAGGGCCTTTGCATCCATGCCCTAATGAGAATATTAGCCCTCTGTGTATGAGACCAAGGGCTGGGCAAGGACAGGACCCCACTTATCAACTGCATTTTATCAAAATTCACATTACTTTCGGTTTTTACTATACTTAATGTACTATGCTTAAGTGATAACACTTAAATCGGATTCTGTGTACCACAAGGCTGTGTCCACCTGTGGTCACAACATCAAAGATGGTCATTTCAGTGACATTTACTTCACTAAGCCTCAGTTTCCTCATATCTAAAATGGGAATAACAGGAGTATCAACCAAATAGAGTTAAGGATTAAATGAGAAAATATAGGAGGGAGAGAAAGCCTCACTCATAGTAATTACTCAGTAAATGTTGGCAGTGATTTTTATTGCTACCAATATCTTTGAATCCTCTCTTTCCTGTGTCCTCACCTCCCATCCAGACTGTCCCTGCTCTCATGCTCTTACGCAGACTCCTTCAATAGCTTCCTTACCTGTCTTCTCATCTCAAGTCTCATCCCCAGACTCATTCCTTCCATCCAACCTCCTTCTACTCTGCTACCGGAGTAAGCTTTCTACACCTCCTCCATCCTCACTGCCTTTAGCTTGGGTTACATGACCCTTTATCTGGGCTCTGGCAACCTCTCCTGGCCATATGTCCTGCAATTCCCTCTACACCACCCATGTTCTAGCGGCAAGGCCAGGACCAGAGTGAGACAAGAGAGACTCATAGCACATGACATTTAAGCAGGCCCTTGCTCTCAGGATTGTGCAGTATCAGGTGCTCTCCATAGGCGGGCAGAAGCCTGCTATCTTAATTGTCCCTCTCCGTCGCCCTCCTTCCTCCCAGACTTCCTGGGTTCAAATCCTTATGAACTATAAAACTCATAGTAAGCTTTTGACCCCTCTGTGCCTCCGTTTTTCATTTATAAAATGGAGATGATTTAAAATATCTCATAATTCTGCTGTGCTGCCGTGAGACACACACACACACACACATACACACACACACACACACATGCATGGAAGCATCCTCCATCAGTGTAAGTGCATCCTTCTTCAGCGTGAGATCCAAAAATGGATCATCGTGGCAGGCCCAAAGAGTCACACAGATGACTGAATGAACATGCTAAATTGTCAGAAGGGGGCCTAGCACCCTGTAAGTTCTCACTGAATGTTAGCTAAAACCACACACTCCCCCGACACAAGTTTTCTTACCATGTCCCCTTCATGTTACAGCATAAGTACACCTATGATCTGAAGCTCAAGACACAAACTACAGCTTAACTAGCGACTACACTACCAATTAAGGAGGACGAAGAAGAGAAGGAGGAGGAGGAGGAAGGGGAGGAACAGGCAGAGAAGAGGAGGAAGAAGAGGAGGAGGGAGAGAAGAAGACCATCTCCCAAGGCAGGATAAAGGCATTGCCGTCTCCCAATCTACCTTCCCAGCTCAGTGGATTCCACGCAGTCACCTGGAGCATCCACCTCCAATGCAGTTTCCCTGGAGCATTTTTTTCCATATCAGTTAAAAATCTTCCAAATGGCGCTAACTGATCAACACTTAGGTGCTCACATGGAAGTAATATTCATCCGGTGCTGGGCAGGTGGGAGGAGGGTGGTGGGATGGGTAAACTCATAACTAATGGGTGTGGAGCACACTGTATGGGGGATGGGCACGCTTGTAGCTCTGGCTTGGGCAATGCAAAGGTATTCTATGTAATCAAAATGTTTGTAACCCCATGATATTCTGAAATTTAAAAAAAAAAAAGAAAAGAAATAAACAAATTGGAAAAAAAAAAAGTCTTTCAGTTGTATGTGATAGGAAACCAGCACAAACTGGCTTAAGCAAAATAGAGAATTTGTCAAGCCCTTGTGTTAGTTATCTGTTGCTGTGTAACAAATTATCCCAAAACTTAGCAGCTTAAAACAATAAGCATTTATTATCTCACATTGTCTATGGCTTAGGAATCTGGGCACAGCTTGGCTGGGTGGCTCTGGCTTAGGGTGCTCACAAAGCTACAGGCCAGGTGTGAGCCAGGGCTGCAGTTATCTCAAGGCTCTGCTGAGGAGATCCACTTCCGATTTCTCTCATGTGGCCCTGGGCAGGGCTCAACTCCTCATTGACTGTTGGCCAAAGCAATCAGTTTCTTGCTGGGTGTGAGCTGGGGCCCTCCCTCTGTTCTTTGCCTTGGGACCCTCTCCATAAGGTAGATCACAACATAATCAGAGGGCTCCCTCTGATTGCCCTCAGAGTGAACTAGAAGAGAAAGAGAGAGAGAGAGAGAGAGACCAAAATGGAAGGCACAGCCCTTTTGTTACCTAAACTTAGCAGTGACATCCTATTACCTCTGCCACATGCTGTTCACTAGAAGCAAGTTGCTAAATCCAGCTCACACTCAAGAAGAGGTGATTATTATACAAGGGCACAAACGCCAGGGGGTAGAGATCTTTAGCAGTCATCTTTAGGGGCCAAGTTTAGAAGCCAAGTCCCTTGATGCCAAAGCAAGTGCTGCTCAACATTGGTTGCAAACGAAGGCCCTAGAATAGACTCAGGACCTTTCCTGCAGCCTGAGCAGGTGGGAGGAGTCTGTGGCGCTGGGTAGATACAAGCCTCCCTGCAACACACACGCTCACAGACACGGAAGCTGTGGTAAGTGCAACCTCCCTCAGACTGAGATTTAAAAATAGACCACCATGGCAGGCCCAAAGAGTCACACAGATGACTGGGCTCTAGCACCTTTCTCCAATAAGCCACAGAAGAGTCAGCCTCAAATTCTCTCTGCCGTTCTCTGGACCTCTCTCCTCTTCCTGCTCATGGGTAAGTCCGCATTATGGCCACTGCTCGCTTACTGGTGTTCCTCTGAGGCTGGTCGCATTGCCTGCCAGGGAGATTCCTGCTAATAAAATCAGGAAACTCCTCTCTTACGGTAATTACTGTGCAGGTTCCACTTTACTCTGAGCTCCATATGTGTGTGTGAATGTGAGCATATTCACGCACCATGGAGGGGGGTGACATCCCAGCCAGTCTCAAATAACTCCGGGCTCAGACTATGTTCCTCTCACCCTTGCACTTTCCTGCTAAAAAAATGGCAAATATGTAAAGAGTTTGTTCTCTGTGTAATGTGAACAAAATGCACAGACAGACCCAGGAAAATTCCCCTGATGACAAGCCATGTAGCAGTTTCCTAGGAAAGGAGAGAAGTGCTGGAGCTTCTTTCCACACCCTGCCCTGGTGGTCACATATCCTGGCTTCGTTGCTGAGGCTTCACTGGGCACCTTGAGGTGGCCAAGTGGCCCTGCACAAGGTGGCCTCTATCTGAATGTCTTTTCCTCCCCAGCAGGCCCAACTCCTGCTAGTTTCTGGGAAACATCTCTCAGCTGCATGGCCCAGACTCGCACTGTCCAGCAGGCAGAGCCGACCCAGTCCCCCAGGGCGATCTCAGCCTCCTAGGACAGTGGCAGCTGCTGTTCCTCTGTGATCCCACTTTCCCCAAGTCCTCAGGGAGGATGGAGCAGGCAGCTATAGGGACCTGAGAGCAGTGAGGGTTGGAGGTGGTATGTGAAAGGAGTTCTAGAAGAACCCCAAGATGCAGGTGTAAGTAGACAGGGAGCCTAGACCTCAGGACTAAGGTCCAGTCTGACCTCTCTTCACTTTCAGTTTCATCCTCGCTCACCACAAAAACACAGAAAGCAGCAGGGCTATTTACATCTACAGCCAACCCTGTGGTGTTACTTGGTTGTGTTGTATGAAAATGAAACCAGTGGCATTCAAGATCATCCGAGTCTCCAATGATTAATGCAATGAATTTCAAACAGTTCAGGGCATTTTTATTTTTTGGAGATAGGGTCTCACTATGTTGTCCAGGCTGGACTTGAACTCCTAGGTTTAAGGGATCATCTTGCTTCACAGCCTCCCGAGTAGCTGGGACTACAGGAGCACACCACCATGCACTGTGCTAGCTCTGAGCCTCTGTTTCTTAGGTGTGGAATGCAGTTAGTAAGGTGTATCATGCAAGACTCTTCTACAGATTAGAGATGATATGTGTCAAATGCTTGGCACATGCTTGGCACATAGAGCTATGACTATCATAATAATTACTGTTATGTGCACCCTTTGGAAACTATTCAGAGATGGGTGAGTCAAATTCAGTTACGACAATCGTTGAACCCTCTTTTATTTTTTGTCAAATGGTGCCGTTTGAAATAAGATGGCTGGTACTGAGGAACCTGTCACTGTACTAGAAGCTACATAGCACTGTTTTCAGCAACAGGATTTGACCCATGGGGCCCACATCCTGCTCCCTCCCCTGAAAGTACCTGAGGCTGTGTTTATCTCTGATGTGAGGAAATATGAAGTCAAAACAGGTCGCATGCACCCAGCCAAGACCCAGCACCTTCTGGGCTTCCAGGATAGGGTGGTCAGTACTCCCGGACTCTATACTCCAGGGCCAACATGTACATAGAATCTGCCACTGATTAACCCTGTAATCTCAGGCAAGTGACTTAAACTCTCTAAATTTCAACTCATCATCTGTAAAACGGTGATCATTACAGGCTAATTTTGGGAATTAAGTGATCTACATAAAATGCCAAATATGCGCATAGTAATCGTAGTCTTCCAGATGGGAAGAGTTCTCTTTTAGGCAGCCTCAAACCAGTCTTACATCAACTCACCTTCCACTTTCTCAACCTGCCCACAGAATCCACCTGAACTAACCTTCCAGGGTCCCTAGCTCTGTGTCCTCCCTAGCTGCCTTTCCACAAGGTCCAAGTGCTCAGCTGACGTGGGTCTTGGCAGGGAACACCCATGACCTGAATGGATCAGGGGTCTCTCCTCTCTGTGTCTATATATTATGTAACCTCTGGGTTTTCTGAGCTCATCTCAGCCTCCCTCCCTCTCTCCAGGCTGTACTTATGCCTCTCCTCTCCTCTCCTCTCCTCTCCTCTCCTCTCCTCTCCTCTCCTCTCCTCTTCTCTTCTCTCTCTCTCTCTCTCTAACACTTTCTACTTATTTTCCCATCCAGAATTCCTGGAGTAGTCTGGGTCCTGAACCATTCGATTTGGTCTAGAACTTCCAAACTACTCTGCAAAGCCTCAGAACCCCTGGAATCTGGGGACCCAAGCTGGGGTCACCCAGCTGACACCCACAGGGTCCCAGTGAGAAAATTAGCTGCCTTGGCCTAATGCCAGTCTCCTGGAAACCTTGGTAACAATGTTTATCATGAGTTTTGTGTAAGATGGGGAAATCGGCAGCTGAATCAATGTTTCTAATTATTCCCAAATCCAAACCTGGCTAAGCCAAAGTCAGCCTGAGAGCCCCTGGACAATGAGGGGGAAGGTAGGGTCAGATAGAATTAGGAGAGGCTCCTTTTTTCCCCAATACTGTTATGAAAATTCTCAAGCATTCAGAAAGGAATTGGAGCATTTTACAGTGAACACTCATCTAGGTTCTACCACTGATATTTTACTTACTTTATCACCCACCTATCCATCTATCCATTCCTCTAGCCAACCATCTATTCATCTTATTTTTTAAAACATGCTCCTTTTTACTTCACTAGCTCTTTACAATTTGTAGCAATCTGCTTTCATTTAATTTTTACTATATCCCTTGAAGAAGATGGATGTTGCAGGTGAAAGCATTTCAATCTTCTAGATAAGTATACTGATTCTCAGAAAAATTCAAAAATTTACACAAAGTCACAAAGCTAATTCCTCTGTTCGAACAGAAACCTAGAAGGTCTGTTTTACTGATTGTTGTAGCTACTTTTATGGAGGAGAGTGGTTGGTGAATGAATGAATGAATGAATGACTTTACTAGGCAATGGGCCAGGAAGAGGGAGAGAAGGAACCTCATTTCATTGCTTAGCATCCAGCATTTATGCCCAATGCATGTTTACTGAGTGAGTGAATGAATGAATGAATGAAGGCTAGCCTGAGGAGTCTACCTCCTCCTCCAAGTCCCTCTTCTCTTTCTGCAGGACTAAGAGCCTCTGGAAAGGACGCAGCCCCAACAGTGGTATCGGGAATCCTGGGGGGTTCCATCGCTCTCTCCCTAAACATCTCAGAAGACACAGAGATTGAGCACATCACCTGGAGTGGTCCTAAAACCACTCTTATTATAGCATACCCCGAAGGAAAGATAACCCTTGTGGACAAAAGCTACCAGGGTCGACTAAACACCAGCTGGAGTTATTCCCTGTACATCAGCAACTTGACTGTGAAAGATGCAGGAACTTACAAAGCCCAGATAAACCAAAAGAATTCTGAAGTCACCACAGAGAAGGAATTCACCCTGCACATCTATGGTGAGTTCCAGAGAGTTTGTATGAGTTTTGATCTTTTGTGTGTGTGTGTGTGCAAAATGAGGGACATGTGAAATTGTGCTGCGCATATATAATGCATTGTGCTCAAGGCAGGGTATTTAGAATGTCCATCACCCAAGTATAATACATTTTTATTAAGTGTAGTCACCCTTCTCTGATATCAAACATAGAATGTATTCCTCGTATCTTACTGTATGTTTGTATCCTTTAACCCACTGCTCTTCATTCTACATCCTCCCCGACACCACTCACCCTTCCCAGTCTCTGTTATCTAGTTGTCCACTCTCTACCTCCATGTGATCAAATTTTTTAGCACCTACATATGAGTGACAACACAGAATATATATCTTTTTGTGCCTGGCTTATTGCACTTAAGATAATGGCCTCTAATTCCATCTATGTTGCTGCAAAGGACATGATTTCATTCTTTTTATGGTTGGATATATTTCATTGTATATATATATATATATATATATATATATATGTCACATTTTCTTTCTCCATTCATCTGTTGATGAACACTTAAGTTGATTCCACATCTTTGCTGTTGTGAATAGTGCCACAATAAACAGACGAGTGGAGGCATTCCTTTGATGCATTGATTTCTTTTCCTTTGGGTAGATCCCCAGTAGTGGGATTGCTGTATTGAATGGTAATTCTATTTTTAGTTTTTTGGGAAATCTCCACACTTTTTTCCATAATTGTTGTACCAATTTACATTCTCACCAACAGTGTGTAAGAGCTTTCTTTTCTCTGCATCCTCACCAACATATGTTGGTTTTTGCCTTTTTAATATTAATAATAGCCATCCTAGCTGAGGTAAGATAATATCTCATGGTGATTTTGATTTCCATTTCTCTAGTGATTAGTTATATTGAGCATTTTCTCATATATCTGTTGGCCATTTTTATGTCATCTTTTGTGAAATGTTTATTAATGTCCATTGCCCACTTTTTAATGAGATTATTTGGGTTTTTTTTCCTGTTGAATTATTTGAGGTCCCTGTATACTCTGAATATTAGTCGTCTGTCAGATAAGTAGTTTGCAAATATTTTTTCCTATTCAGTGGGTTGTCTCTTCACTTGGTTGATTATTTCTTTTGCTATACAGAAACTTTTTTAGTTTAATTAACTCCCATTTGTCCAAATTTTATTGTTGTTGCCTGTGCTTTTGAAACCTTAGTTATAAATATAAATTCTTTGCCTATATTAATATCCAGGATAGTTTGCCCTAGGTTCTCTTCTAGTATTTTTATAGTTTTGGATCTCACAGTTGATTCATTTTGAGTTGACTTTTTTTTTTTTTTTTTTTTTGAGACAGAGTCTCGCTTTCTTGCCCAGGCTAGAGTGAGTGCCATGGTGTCAGCCTAGCTCACAGCAACCTCAAACTCCTGGGCTCAAGTGATCCTCCTGCCTCAGCCTCCCGAGTAGATGGGACTACAGGCACGAGCCACCATGCCCGGCTGATTTTTATATTATATATTAGTTGGCCAATTAATTTCTTTCTATTTTTATGGTAGAGACGGGGTCTCGCTCAGGCTGGTTTTGAACTCCTGATCTTGAGCAATCCGCCCGCCTCGGCCTCCCAGAGTGCTAGGATTACAGGCGTGAGCCACCGCGCCCGGCCTTGAGTTGACTTTTGTATATGGTGAGAGATAGAGGTCATTTCATTCTTCTGCTTTTGTCTATCCAACTTTCCCAGCACCATTTCTTGAAGAAGGTATCCTTTCCCCAATGTAAGTTCTTGTCAATATTGTTGAAGAACAGTTGGATGTAAATATGGGGCTTTATTTCTGGGTTCTCTATTCTGTTCCATGGTCTACATGTCTAGTTTTATAACAATACAATGCTGTTTTGGTTACTATAGCCTTGTAATGTATTTTGAAGTCAGGTAATACTATGCTTCAAGCTTTGTTCTTTTTGCTCAGGATTGGCTTTGGCTATTCAGGCTCTTTTCTGGTTCCATAAGAATTTTAGGATTGTTTTTTCTAATTCTATAAAGAATGATGTTGGTAGAGATTGCATTGAATCTGTAGGTTGCTTTAACCAATAGGGTCATTTTTAATGATATTGATTCTTTCAATCAATGAGCATGAAATGTTTTTCAATTCGTTTGTGTCATCTCCAATTTCTATCATCAGTGTTTCATAGTTTTTCTTGTACAGATCTTTTGCCTCATTGGTTAAATTTATTCCTAGATATTTTAATTTTTTGTAGATATTGTAAATAGAATTGCTTTCTTGATTTCTTTCTCAGCTACATCATTTTTGGTGTATAGAAATGCTATTAATTTTTATACATTGATTTTGTATTCTGCAACTTTACTAAATTCATTTATCAAATGTAAGAGTTTTTTGGTGGAGTTTTTAGGCTTTTCTAGATATAACAGCATATCATCAACAAAAAGGGACAATTTGATTTTCCTCTTTCCTAATTTGAATGTCTTTGATTTCTTTCTCTTGCCATATTTTCACTTGCTGTTGTTAGGATTCACTCTTTATCTTTGACTTTAGATAGTCTAGCTATAATATGCTGTGGAGAAGATCTTTTTACATTACGCGTTGAGCCTCTTCTATCTAGATGTCTAAATCTCTTTCTAGACCTGGGAGGTTTTCATCTATTATTTTGTTAAATATGTTTTTTAACCCTTTCTTTGTCTCTTCACCTTTGAGGATACTGATAATTCAAATATTCGGTCACTTTATGTTGTCCCAAATGTCATGAAATGTATTTTGCATTTCCTAGAATGAATTCTTCAGTTCCAGAATTTATATTGCTTCTTTTTAAAAATAACTATCTCTTTGATAAATTTCCCAGTCATGGTCTGAATTGTTTTTCTAATTTCTTTGTATCGTTTTCCAGAATTCTCTTGTATATCACTGAGCTTCTTTAAAATCAATCTTTTGAATTATTTATCTGGGATTTTGAAATTTTCTTTTTGATTAAGATCTACTGCTAGAGAATTATTGTGCTCCTTTGGAGGTATCTTATTTCCTGGCTTTTTCATCTTTCCAGTGTCCTCACATTGATATCTGGTGTAACAGTCACTTCTTTCTATTTTTGAATCTACTTTCATAGGGGAGGACTTTTTTCTCAAGATGTATCCATGGTCTTGGTTGGGTAGGGTACTTTGGCTTTGACTCTGAGCACATGCAGTAGTATAGTCTCTGTACGATTTCTTTGGCTGTAAAAAAAAGTTAGTTACTTCCTTCTGATGTCTCTCTCCTTGGCTTGCAGATGGCCACCTTCTCTCTTTGTTGTCATGTGATTGTTCCTCTGTCTGTGTTGTCTATGCTCTAATCTCCTCTTCTTATGAGGATACAAGTCATGTTGGATTAGGGCCCATCCTAATAACCTTGTTTTAGCTTAATTATCTCTGTCTCCAAATACAGTGTTATCTCCAAATACAGTCATATTGTGAAGTACTGGAGGTTAGGACTTTGCAGGAATATAGTTCAGCCCATAACACTATTTTTCTATCAGGTAGTTTGATCTTTTTCATTGATTTGTAGGGTACTCTGTATATATTAAGGAAATGGAACTCTATGAAGCTAATAGAATTAGAATGAATCAACTCAATATGTATTAACATAAAACAATTTCCAAGATATATTGTTAAATTTTTGCAAAGGTTCAAGACAGTATGTAAAGTACGCTATTATATATCTGGATATACCTAGAATATCTCTGGAAAGATCAAGAAGAAATTCTTAACAGTAATTGCCTCCAGTTACTGTAACTCTTGGGGAAAGAAAATAGGTAGCTGGATCAAGAAAATTTACTTTTTTCATTATGTAACCTTTTGTATCTTTTCAATTTTGTGCATGTATTACCCATTAAAAAATAGAATTTAATTGAAAACACACACACACACACACACACACACAGAGTGAACAAAGGAGATGGAACAAAAGGAAAGAAGAAGACCAGAAAGGAGATGTGGAAGCACAGTGGGTCCTAAATTCAGACTAAAAGGCAAGGGCAACTCAAATTCTAGAGGCAGAGCTCCCCACTGTCTAGTGCTTGGGGGTGGGCCATTCATCCACTTATTCACTGGACATTCATGAGTGTTTTTCATGGGCCAAGCTGAGTGTTAGATGTCCAGACAGAGGCATCAGCCCTGTCCTTGAGGAGTTCACATATTGGTGGGGGAGAGAGAGAAGTAATCTGACTATTGTCATGTTGAGTCATGGTGATAACTCCTGTAGAGGAAGTATGGAAGCACAGAGGAGAGACAGTCAAGCTGGCCTGCAGAAAAAAACTTCCCTGCAACAGGAAATGCTGGCCTTTCCCCCCCTCCCCCCTCCCATCCCCCTGTCCTCCCCACCCCCCTCCCCCCAGCTCCTCTGTCATCACCACCTTCTTCTATCAGTCTCTTCCTTCCGGCAAAGGGATCTGAGTGTCCTCCCAATGCTATTGTCCCTGCAGAGCAGCTGCAGGAGCCCCAAGTCACCATGAAGTCCGCAAAGGTGTCTGAGAACTCCTGTAACATCACCCTGAGGTGCTCCGTGGAGGGTGCAGAGAAAGATGTTCTGTACAGCTGGACCCCAAGGGACACCCATGCTTCTGAGTCCAATGACAGTTCCATTCTCACCATCTTCCGAATGCCCTGTCACCCAAACCCGGCATATACCTGCACAGCGCGAAACCCAGTCAGCAAGAACAGCTCCCGCCCTGTCCGTGCGGGGCAGTTCTGCACAGGTAACTGGCTCCAGTTAGGCCCCTAGGGGAGTACAGGAACTGGCAGCTGTGGGGTCCACACCCCAGGGTTCTGGTAGGACAAAGAGTGAGTGGAGAAACGAGAGGACAAGCCTGAAGACCACTTGTTCTCTACCCTCAGGTGCCTGAGAGAGGCTGGCAGGACTTAGGGATGCCCAGAGCACTGTGAAACTCTAAGGGTGGAGCAAAGGAGGAGAAGAAAGTATTCATGAAGAGGAACAGATGGATCTGAGCTGGCCTGGAGGTGTCCCCTGTGGTCCCTTCAGGAGGGCAGGAAGGGCAGGACAGTCCAGATATGCAGTGGGCAGAGCCAGATGGAATAGGCGGTCCTTAGGAAGAAGCAGCAGGGACCCCTTGTCAGGAGAGGAGGCTGGAGGAAGGGGAAGGGGAAGGGGAAGGGGAGGAGGGGCTCCAGTCCCCTTCAGGCTGGCTGAGGGCCAAGGGAGCAGGGGACAGTGGCTGAAGCTGCAATGTCTCATCTCCGACTGCAGGTCCAGGAGCCTCCAGAAGAGGAGCAATGGGGGAGACAGTGCTGGGGATCCTGGGAGAACCCGTCACCTTGCCACTGGCACTCTCGGCCAGTCAGGACATAGACAATGTTGTCTGGATGTTTAACACGTCTGTTATCAGCAAAGGGCAGGGAGAAGCAGCGACAATAGATCCGCTCATTAAATCCAGGGATCCTTTCAAGAACAGAGTGTGGGTCTCTGGCCGGGACCACTCCCTGAAGATAGACCCGCTGAAGATGGAGGATGCTGGCCTCTACCATGCCTACGTGTGCTCGAAGGCCTCCAGAGTCACCAGCATGACACACATCACCCTGCTCATCTACCGTGAGTCTCTGGGCAGAGTGCCCGTCATTAGATTCCTTCTCTGAAAGGTTTCTCCTCTGCTGCCTTCCAACCTCCCTCTTGTACCGACATGCCTCTAGGACAGGTATTTAGTTCACACCAGTCACACCAGGAGGAAAAATGACAACCAGCATCTGGATAAAATCTTCCTGCCAAAGTTCCCCTTGCTCTAGGCTGCCAGTTAGGCCTCAACCAGCCAACTTTTGGTACTTACCCCTGTCCTCCTGCACTGAATCTCAGAAGGAGCAGGAACTCTCCAAACTGCATTTTTAGAGACCATTATCATTTTAAATAGGGGAAGATCTGGCAGGGGTGGAATCAGAGAAGACCAAGGAGAAGCCCTTGTTGTCCAAAGACACTGTGGCCTCTGAGAGGGTGGACCACTCAGCTCCCCTGAGTGTGAGAGACAGAACTCACATTCACCTCCTCAGCCCTGGGCCTCACGGGAGCTCGGTTGACAATTTGCATGGTTTAAGTTTACCAGCTCTTCCACCCATACCGTTCAGACATGGTCCCATACCTCCTGCCTGAGTTTGTTGGTGTCTAGGTACCTGTGAAAAGAGTCGCCATCCATGGTCCTGTTAAAATATGTAGCAAGTCAGCCAAGTCCACATCCACTGCATACAGTGACTCAAACATAAAAGAACCCACAAGAAGGTTAAGCAAAAGAAATAATAAACTATAGCTGGGCACGGTGGCTCACGCCTGTAATCCTAGCACTCTGGGAGGCCGAGGCGGGAAGATCGCTCAAGGTCAGCAGTTTGAGACCAGCCTGGGCAAGAGTGAGACCCTGCCTCTACTAAAAATAGAAAGAAATTATCTGGACAACTAAAAATATATAGAGAAAAAAATTATCCAGGTATGGTCGTGCATGCCTGTAGTCCCAGGTACTTGGGAGGCTGAGGCAGTAGGATTGCTTGAGCCCAGAAGTTTGAGGTTGCTGTGAGCTAGGCTGATGTCGTGGCACTCTAGCCTGGGCAACGGAGTCAGACTCTGTCTCAAGAAAAAAGAAAAGAAATAATAAACTAGGAACAAATACAGCTGGTCTTACTGTTTCTCTTAAAATTGCCAACATATATTGAGCAGCTACTCTGTGCCAAGTGCTGCCCTCACCTCTCTACGTCCCTTACCTCGGGTAAGTAAACAAATCAGATGCCGGAGCCTCAGATATAAGCCAGGAAGGGCCTTCAGAACATGCAGAAGCATTGTGCTTATTTGCGTTGATTGGTTTTCTTGCTTTTCACAGCTGTAAGTACACATGTGGAATGAGACGGCTTTGTCACACCTGAGTCTCTCGGCCCACAGAGGTTAGTGGTGTGTCTGAGACCTCGCAGGCAGTGAGGAGGAGGCCAGGGGCACTCCGAAAGGCCTGTGACTCCTGGAGGCATTTTTTCGAGCAGCGTCAGCACACAGTCTCATGAATACGTTTTCAGCGAGTGGAGACGAGGTGACTGCCCCATGAGAGGGCTTGACTGTGCGTCGTCTCTGCCCTTCTCCTCACGCAGGGAGGCTGGCCAGGCCGAAAGTCACCTGGAGCCTCGGGCAGGCCAAGGACGGCATCTGCAGGATCAGTCTGACCTGCTCGGTGGAGGACGGGGGGAACAACGTGACGTACACGTGGGCCCCGCTGCCAAAGGGAGCTCTTGTGTCCCAAGGGGGATCTCGCCTCAGCATCGCATGGAGAAGTGGCGAAAACCACCCCAACGTCACGTGCACAGCCAGCAACCCCGTCAGCAGCAGCTCCAGCCAGTTTCTTTCTGAGAACGTCTGTCCAGGTTGCTCTCCATTTCTTTGGGCTCGGGCTGCAGGGCCTTGCATTCCGAGGGGTTCTTTATGAAGTACAGCAAAGGGGCGTGGGTGAGAGTCCTTTTAGAGTGGCCCCTTTCAACAGAAATGTCATAGGAGCCACATAAGTAATTTTAATGTTGTAATAGTCACATTAGAAAATGCAAAAAAAAAAAAGGTAAAATTATTTTAAATGTATTCTATTTAACCCAATATATCCAAAATATCATCGTTTCAATGTCCATTCAAGTACAAAAAAATTATTCATGAGGCAGTTTACGTTTTATTTCGTATTAAGTCTTTGAGAGCCAGTATGTATTTTGTACGTACAGCACATCTTGAGTCAGATGCTGAATTTTCACTGGAAGTATTTGATCTGTAGTTAGAGTTTATAAAATTTACAGTTGAAAAAATAGATCTACAGATGCAAGTTGTCCCTGGCATACTTAGTTTTTCTCAAGAAGGAATTGAGTAGCCATTTTAAAATTTAAACTATTTAAAATTAAATAAAACAAGCAATTAAGTTTCTTGGTCACACTAGCCACATTTCAAGGCCCATGCACGGCCTGTGGCTGTCACACTGGACAGCACAGAGCTAGAGGTTTGTGGAGAAAAGGTGATGGAACGAGGGCTGTGTGAGCGGGAACTGGTTAGGAAGCCCTAGTGGCTCTTACTAAGTATTTAATAAATGCCAGGCACTATTCCAGGCCTTTGTGCATTTTTGTACAATTGGTATCACAACAATGCTACAAAGCAGATATTCTTATTATTCCCCATTATATAGATAAAGAATCTGAGACTCAGAAAGGATGAGGGACTTGCCCAAGGCCACACAGTAAAAGCAGGATTAGAACCCTGAGCTCTACCCTCTTTTCTTCCCTAGAGGGAAGCAGAAAAGATATGGTCCGCCCAGGATCTCACTATGCTGGAACATGTTGGCTTTGGCAGACAGATGTAGAGCCCAGCTCATTAGCAGTCTGAACTCTCTCTGTCCTAAGCCAGAAGTCCCCTCATATCATTTACAGAAAGGGACAGTGTAGTGTGGTGGCTAAGTGTGCTTTAGGATCAAACAGTAAGCATTCAAATCTAAGGTCACAGACTTAAAACTCTGTGACACTGGGCAAGTTATAAACCTTTCTACCCAGGGACTGTGTCTGCCTTATGTATTGCTATAACCTCCTACCTAAAACAGCACTTGCTCAAAAAATGGTTGTAGAATCAACGAATGAAAAGAAATACTTTTTGCAATATCACAGGGTTTTAAGGGGCAGGTAGGATGGCTGACACGTTCTGTCCAGCTTTTGCTCCCATCCCTCTTGTCATTATTTGTACTGATATTGCTTGTTTCCTCTTCAAAGGGCCCGAGAGTCAGGTGAAGTCGTGGATCGTGCTTTCCCTGGTGGTTTTCCTTCTGTGCTTTGGGATCTTCAGCTGGTGCCTTTGGAGGCACAAAAGACAGTGTGGGTTTCTGCGATCAATGGCCTCTACCAGCTCTAGGTCATTCCTCTGGGACCTCTGGGGGCTTCTCTGTCCTCACATAACCCCTTGCTACCCTTCTCTCCCCAAACCTCATTTTTTTCTCAGAGTGATGGGGAGGGGTGTTAGTTGGGACTCTGTAGTTACAAATAATTGAAACCCAACTCAAACTAGCCTAGATCAAAAAAGGGGGGAATGGGGGATAGGGGCAGGGAGAGTGATTTATTATTTTGTGCCATGTATAATCAATCCGTAGGGAAGGCAGAGATAGAACTGGCCTAATAGACAAACGTCACCAGGGACTCAGAAATCACCAGAGCTCTCCATCTCTCATCTCTACTTTTTTCTTTGAGCCAGCTTAACTCTCTTATTGCAACCAGCTGAGGGGCAGGGGTGGAGGTCAGGTAGAGAGGTGTACCAAAACATAGCAACTAACTGGTAGCTCCAGACTTATGCATACTAATAGTTCTGACACCAGAAAAAATATGTTTGCCTCCAGCTTCAATTTGAAGAATATAAGAAATATCTCCGATTGGCCAGGGTTGAGGTCCTGTGTCCACTACTTGGACCAATCACTATAACCAAGGGGAAGAGCTATTATGATTGGCAGCTCCCTCTAGAATCTCAGTATGGGAGTGGGAATGGAGTAGTTCCCAAAAAGAACATAATGGCTAGGACACCTAGGACCCCTGGAAGAATTACTGTGAGCAGGCAAACTCCTCTGATTAGTAGCTGTGACGGAAGAGTTAGAGGTCTCCCTTCCAGAGGGATGGCAGGAAGCTCCAGGGCCTTCACCACAGCTGAGGGTAACCCTAGACTCTGGGTCCCCCTTTTTATGGGCCTGTACTCCCATCAGGGTTCACCCTCCTCCCTAAAGCCTTTGCCCTGCCTGTGTCCCGGAAGTCTCTCCCCTTCTCCTTTCACTCTCACAGAATCAGTGACACCTCCCTCTTCATAACCCTTCTCCAACTTGGCTCCTCAGGTTCAGCCCCAGCCTTCCGTTCCAGCCCAGTTGAGGCCCCAGCTGTCACACCAGGTAATGTCACCAATGACAGGCTATGAGGTCCCTGATCCATGTGGAAGCTCCAAAGCCCGGCTACTCAAAGTGTGGCCAACCGACCAACAGTGTGAACACACTCAGGAGCTTGTCAGAAATGCAGAGTCTTGGGCACACCCCTAGAACGCTGAATCCAAGTCTGCATTTTAACAATATCCACAAGTGATTCATATGCCCGGTAAAGTTGGAGAAGCAATGTGCTGAATAAATGTGGTTTGGAAACAAAAGCCACAACCAAGAGGGACCCCTTAGAGATGGTCACCAGACCTAGGAGTGACAATCTGTCCTCCAGGGTCTCTAGAGTCCCTTGGACATTGACTGTCACCATGTGAATGTGGCCTACCATGAGGATGGAGTTATAGTCTCCATTCTGATAATAGAAAAACAAAGGCTAGTTGGAATAGCAACTCTATAGCAGTAGCAAAAGTAAAAACTAATTAAAATTAAACCCCATGAGACTGTGTAGATACCTATTCCCCAAGAGCATCACATAAAAGTGGCGCTGTTCTGATGGCTGTTGGGGTGGAGAGCTGAGATGCCTGCTCTTGCTCCTCCTGCCCCATCCCAGTGGACCGCCTTAGCTCCAGAAGCCTAGAATGCTAAGAAATCCCCAAATTCTGCCTCCTCCAACCAAACCCTCCTTTAAAAATCAACTTTATGTCACCTCTCCTGGAGGAGACCCTCTATGGAGATGGAATCAGAGCTAGGGCCAGGGGCTCAAGTCACTTGACAATACAGGTTGTTCTGGTTGGAAAGTATGCCCAAGAGGAAGAGGGCAAGGAAGACAATGAGGCTGGATTATGGGCCTTCCCCTGGGCTCCCTCCTCACCACTAGCAAGACAGAACCCATGTCTCCCCCGGCCTGAGCCCTCCTTCCCTGGGCCCTGGGCAGAGGAGGAGTAAAGAGGTGTTGGGGACACCTTCATTCTCCCTGTCCCTGCTACTTCCCCAGCACCTATTCTCCACCCCCAAGGCCTGATTCTTTAATCTAGACCCATTGCCACTGCCTTAGTCCATGCTGTCGCCAATTTGTTGTTTAATTGCATCTTTTTATTGAAAAGTCATATATTTACATGGTGTACTGTTCAAAGCAACTCTCCTTCTGAATTCCAATCTCTAGGTTCCAAGTCCCCACTCCCAGCCACTCCCAGAGACAACCATTGCTAAGATTTGCTAAAATCTTAGCAACCATTGCTAAATCCATTCAACCATTGCTAAATCCTTTCAGAGACTTTTAATGCATTTACAGGCCTCATATATATTTGCAGGTGTGGAAGGATGTTCCTTTAATTTCACGTATGGGAGCAATCTATTTCACTTTTCTGAACTTTGCTTTTTTAGCTTAACAATATAAGCCAGCAATATTAGTATATATGGATTAAAACTGACTCCCATTTATTCCATTCCACAGATCTATTTAATTTATTTATTTGACCAGTCCTTCTCACTCCTTGTTACTTCTTCCCTAAAATATTAAAATAGTTTCCCAACTGGCCATTCCCCCTCAAGTTTCTCCTTTCTATCCTTTCTGCTCACCAATCTGCAAAGCTCAACTCTGACTTCTCTAAAATCCTCAGTGGTACCCCATGGCCTGTGTCTGTTGTTCAAAAGCCAACATAATCTCGTGGTCAGTTGTGTGGGTTCTCAGGTAGGACAATCCTGTGTCCAAACCCCAGCTCCTCTCCTTGTTAATGGTACGATCTTGGGCAGTTCAGTCTCTAAGCCTTAGTTTCTTTACCTTGCAAAATGAGAGTACCTACCTCTCAGAGTTGCTGTGAGGACCAAGTGGAGTAATGCCCACAGTGCTCACTCAATAGGTGGTGATTACTATTTCTGCTCAGTATTGCGCCAGACTCCCTTTAACCATTTTTTTCCCTGCACAAACGTGGGAGGAGCAGTATTAAGTAGTGGTTAAGAACATCAGGGACCAGGCTACCTGCAAATCCTGGTCCCTGGCCCTACCACTTACTTGGGAAAATACTTAACTTTTATGTGCTCCAGTTTCATCTGCAAAAAATGAATAAGGATAGTTACTGTCTATGCTTCATGGAATTTTATGCAGATTTTTCTTTTTTTTTTTTTTAAAGACAGGGTCTTGCTCTGTTGCACAGAGTGCAGTGGTGTGATTATAGCTCACTATACGCTTGAATTCCTGGGCTCAAGTGATCCTCCGACTTCAGTCTCTCAAGTAGCTAGAACTATAGGCACACACCACCATGCTCAGCTAATTTGTTTATTTTTTGTAGAGGCAAGGTCTTGCTATGTTGCCCAGGCTAGTCTCAAACTCCCAGCCTAGAGCTATCCTTCCACCTTGGCCTCCCAAAGTGCTAGGATTACAGAAATTTTATGCAGATTATGTAAGTGTATTCATGAAAAGCAATTAGAACAGTGCCTGATACATAACAGGCATTTAGTAGATGTGAACCATTTTTATTCTACACTCAGGTCAAAAGGGCTAATTGACAACTCTCAAAGGCAGGGTTGACAGCCACCCAGGGTGACACGCCAGTGCTCACAGCAGGTGCCCATTAGGATGCCCCAGCCATTGCAGTTGTTAGATGTTTTCAATATCATCCGTTCCTAAAAGGGAGAACACTCCAAGTTTCACACTTGCCTTTAATCATGACGCTTCCTCCACCAAAAATGCCCCTTTCACTTATCAAAATCCTGCCCCTATTCAAGGCCCGCTTCAATTCTGCCACCCTCACTTCTTCCCTGCCTTCCTAACCAGAGGCCATCTCCTCTCACCCATGTACTTTCCGCATACTTTCCCTACGACACGTGTCAAAGTGGCCTTACGTTAACCGATTTATGTGCGGATCCGACACCCCCGCTAGACACTACCGTCCTCCGTGACCAGGTCTAGTTTTCCTTTGTGTCTCCCCAGACTACCTGTTGTGGTGCTCGGCACGGTCTGTGCCCGGGGCCAGTGCTGCTCACAGAGGGCCGCTGAGTCTGTCACATGTCATACTAGATGAACGTTTATCAAGTAAATGAACAAATGAGTGCTCGAAAGGAAGGAGGAAGGGGGAGTGAAATGGAAGCCCCTGAGGGAAGACATAAAAAAAACATATCTTCTTTAGTTCTTGAGGCCTCACCTGAGGTAGGAGTCAGAGCAGGTTGGGTCCTTGCAGCAAAACGAGAGAGAGAGGTGGGGTCGGCCCTTTTATCGGCCCTGCACCATGTGTTCCAGAACCCACGGCTGGCCACACGGTGTACTCCATGCTCTCCCACGGGCACGAGAAGCTGGACTCTTCCGATAAGCCTGCCAGGCAACAGCCCAGGCCCACCTCAGACAGCAGCTCTGACAGCAACATCACGACTGAGGAGGACGAGGAGAGGCCCGAGACGCACAAGCCTGTCAATGGAAGAGACGCTGGACATGACTCAGCCTCCCAGGGCCAAGCAGAGTATGATCTCGTTGCTCCAAATGACACAGCGGCTGAGTCTGTGGTCGAAGGGGGCACAGTGTATATGCAGGTGTTCTTCAGTTCACAGGTGAGCCCTTCTGGTCACTGCACCGTCCTCTGCCTCCCACTTTTAAGACCATCTGATATCCTGGTTGACGAGATCCTCCAAACAGGGGGCTGCAGGCTGGGGACAGGACCAAGGGCATATGGGCAGGGACTCATGGCTCTATTCATGTTTGCCAACCCTCGGGGTCCTGTGGAGTGGAGGAACTTGTCCCTCGGCTCCTGTCCTTGGGCCACGAATAGGGAGGTGCCGGGGAACCAGAGCCACTGTCCCCACTACACTAAGGCAGCTCCCACCCTCTATGTGAGACTGGACCCTCCGGTGGTGGTGCCCGCTCTCCTCCAGGAATGAGGGGAAAATGCTGGAAAGCTCTCATTTGGTGATTAAGGGTAGTCTGATGTTGGTCTGTTACAGGGACAGACCCCACTTCCTCAGAAGAGAGACAGCTCAGCCACAATCTACGACTCTGTGCAGAAATCTCAGACGGTGAGGACAATTTTCTCTGTATCCCAAAGCCCATAAAATTAGGAACTATTCTCCAGATCATTTTAACTAAAATCATAGATTCCTATGGCTGAGGAGCTTAAATTCTACCCACTATATACCCCCCAGACACACTTCATGGTCAGCAGATGCTTAAACAAATATTCCTGATTTACATCTGTGTGAACATTTCTAATTGATTTAATAATATCTGAATGTTTCTAACTGATTGAATAATATCTTATGTTGATTATTCTTAACATTGACCAGAATGAGATGCTATAAACTCAAACAATGTATGGTCTATCTATATTTCTAAATCTATCTCTAATCTTAATCCTAGTCTACCAAAATGGCAATTTCCCCAAATAATTGAAAATTAGCCAACAATTCAATGTCAAGATTTTTTGAAAAATATGCTATGAACTATAATATATTGGTCTTATTATAGTATTAAAAGAACCCTTCAGGGTATCATTTACCATTAAATAATAATAATGATAATAATGACAACTCTTACGTAAAGTTTTACAGTTTACAAACATTGAAAAACATATTCTCCTCTGATCCTTGTAACATCTCTAGAAATGTGTTGTCATCCACATTTTATAGCTGAGGAAGGTGAAATTCAGGAAGTTAATTTTGCCTAAGGTCACACAGATAGTAGTTTGAAGCTTCAGTATTAAGAGCCACACATAGTTTTAAAATAATTCCAAATAATCCTAAGCAATTAATCTTAATCTAAATCTGGCTATCCACTCCATTTTCTCTATCCTGAAAACACTGGGTTCATTCACACTCTTGCATTCAAATTTCCACTCCAAATTGCCTCCCTTTTCTCAACTCATTTAAAAAAGATTCTTTTAAAAAAAAACTCTAGGCCGGGCGCGGTGGCTCACGCCTGTAATCCTAGCACTCTGGGAGGCCGAGGCGGGTGGATTGCTCAAGGTCAGGAGTTCAAAACCAGCCCGAGCGAGACCCTGTCTCTACCATAAAAAAAAATAGAAAGAAATTAATTGGCCAACTAATATATATAATATAAAAATCAGCCAGGCATGGTGGCTCGTGCCTGTAGTCCCAGCTACTCGGGAGGCTGAGGCAGGAGGATCGCTTGAGCCCAGGAGTTTGAGGTTGCTGTGAGGTAGGCTGACGCCACGGCACTCACTCTAGCCTAGGCAAGAAAGCGAGACTCTGTCTCAAAAAAAAACAAACCTCTAAAGATTTTTCAATTGTGCTACTTCTCTGTAATTGATGAATCCATCAATAGATATTTATTAAGTACCTTTTTTTTTGCCCAGAGCTAGGTTGAGTGCTGTGGGCATTCAGATATGTTTAGGCACAATCCTTTACCTTGAGGACTTATCTATGTTTTGGTGGAAGAAAGGTGGAACTGATTTAGTCACCTGGAAGGGGAGAGAAAACACTACAGTTGACCCATGAACAATGCAGTGGGTTGGGGCACTGACCCTCCATATGGTCAAAACTTGCATATAACTTTAACTCCCTCCACATTTTATTGCTAATAGACTACTATTGACCAGAAGCCAAGTAACACATATTTTGTATGTTACACATATTATATACTATATTTTTATAACAGGGTAAGCTTAAGAAAAGAAAATTAATTAAGAAGACCATAAGGAAGAGAAAATATAGTTACTATTCATTAAGGGAAAGTTGATCATCCTAAAGGTCCTCATCTTCACATTCAGTAGGCTAAGGAGGAAGAGGAAGAGTTGGTCTTGCTGTCTCAGGGGTGACAGAGGCAGAAGAGGTAGAGGAGTAGAAGGGGAGGCAGGAGAGGCAGGCTCACTTGGTGTAACTTTTCTTGAAAGAAATCCCCTTATAAGTGGACCCATGCAGTTCAAACATGTGTTGTTCAAGGGTCAACTGTACTTGACTACTTAATAAACAATGTGCACAGTTCCCAAGGGTTTATCAGACATTGGAAGTGAGAGATATCACTGCACTGAGGTAGAGATGAAAGACTTTATGTAAAAGGAATTTGGGTCGGACCTTAAAAGATGGATAGAATTTTCTTGGTGAACATGTGTTCAGATGAGCTGTTCACTTCAACCACCACCTGCCTCGTCCTGACTTCTGGATTGTAGTCTAAAGCTCAGCCAGCTAGGGACTTTGCCTTTGGACTTGAGGCCGAATCTGTGCTGTTCACTGCATTCCCAGAGCTCTTTCCACTCTGGCCTGGCCCTTTGTGTTTGGGCAATGCTGGCCAAACTTAAAGCCATAGACATCAGTCCCTGCTCTGAGTTTCAGAATGATTGTGAATTGACACGTCTAGTCAGTCCTGCAAGATGGCCACACTACCCTGGGGACTTGAGATCCCTAAAACCACCCTCACCTGCAGTGTAAGTGGAAATCAATGCATTTCCACAGCCAAGCTCTTGATGGAATTCATCCTTTGTTCTCAGAATTTTCAGGACTAGAAATTCTGGTTCTGGATCCGTGCAGGCCATTATTGCCCAGTTGACCTGGAAATTCTCAAATCTACTTTAGTTATTATTTTCTGACACAAATCTCTGCACAAAGAATGTTCGTGCTATCCCCAGGCTGTTGCTGGTACCTCACTCCCCCTCCTCTCTGTATCAGCCCAGATCTCATCTGCTATTTAGAGCCCTCCCTGAACCCTCTCAGACAGGCATACTAGGAACCCTTGGAACATGAAAGTCTAATGGTCTGGACCATGACTTTGGGACTTAACCTCCATGATCTAAATTATCTTCATATGAATGTCTGCCTTGTTTCTCCAACTGGAGCAGAGGTTGGGATCATTCAACAGTAGCTTCTTGGGGGCATGGCCTTTTATTGACATTTTTTATCCCTTGGATTTGCTGCACTAAGCCATCTTGTATTGTCCTTACAGAGAGTCTCCATTAGGAGATTCATCATGAATGCCTGTTATCAGCTTGGGTGATTGCTCAGTCCCTAGACAAGTCCACATGACCCTCCTTCTGTAGGGTGGACCTGTCATGGTCCTTGCCTGCCTTTCTCCCACCAGCACAAGGTTAAGGAAACCAGAGTCTTCTGAGACTTCATTAACCATATTCTTGTGTGTTCTTTTGGCTCACAGGTAGTGCCACCACCACAAGAGAATAATCTTGAGTCTCCTGAAATCCCTACCTATGAAAATTTAACCTGAAAGGAAAAGCAGCTGCTGCCTCTCTCCTGGTTAAGGGTTGGAGAGGCAGCTGGACCACGTAGGGCCTGGGGCTCTGCAGACAGAAGCACTTCAGAATTTCCTTCAGTCCTTCAGAGATGCCTGGATCAGACGCCCCCCCTTTCTTCTCACCCTTGTGGCCTCCCAAGCCCGTTAATAGTTCAGACACAGGCTCCAAAGCCTATGGGCTTAGATGCCTTTGCTCAATTTGTCTCCTTGTATACTCATAGCATTTCCTTCTCAAGTTTCTGCCCAGGCTGGTCAGATGTTGGAGAGGACCTGTCCTGATCATCCTTTACACCTTCTTCTAAGCAGCTGCTAAAACGAATCAAACATTCTCACACATGGGCACAAAGATCTATGTAAAATGAGGTTCACTGTAGTATTGTTTAAAATAAAAGCCAGGGAACACCTAAATGCCCATTTAGTGAAAGTCCAGTTAAATACATGATAGTATACCCAGCCAGTGGCAAACCCTGCCACTTGTAAAGAAAGCAAGGACTAACATGTGCTAATATGAAATAAGCTCTAGGATACATCGTGGAGTGGGAAGAACAAAGTCCAAGACAGTGTGTATTATATGCTGCCACTTGGATTAGGAAAAATGTGCATCTCTATGCTTATATGGGCATGGAAAAGTTCTGGGGGGAAATATAAAAAAAACATTAGTTGCTGCCTCTGGAAGGAACTGGGAATCTCAAGTCAAGAAGTAAACATTTTTTACGACATAATTTTGTACTGCTGGACTTTTTGAAACTATATGTATGTGTTACTCTTTTGATATTTCTTAAAAGTGCTTAAAATGCCTGTTTCATATTTACCCAAAAGAACTTCCTTCCTTATTTTACATTCTGGATGCAGAACAGCCACAGTAACTCTACATAAAATGTGGCCACAGCCCAGTCACCCTGCCTGTAAGATGCCCCAAACTTGGCTTATATTCAAGATACTCTTGTGTACGTTTGTATTGCAAGCATCTTGCAGCCTATCGCTGTCCTTTAATGTTGTGCTCCCGCTGTCATGCTCTCCTGCACCTGGCCCTGGAGCAAGTGTGGCTTCTGGGGCCTCCAGTGAGTCCTCCCAGGAGTTCGGGTAGTGCTCCACTCAGTAGGAGCTGAATTGCTGCTTGCGCACTTACTGGCTTTTTGCACGGATAATTACCTTTGCGGGACATTATCACAGAAGCTCAACAATCAGACACGCAATATGATAATGTTGTATATCTTACATTCCAGAATAGAGCATCCAAAAAATGTTCTGGGCCCATCGGGTCTTTCCTGCCCCTTCAATAAATATAACCAGTTCAAGATCTACAAGACACAGGACAGGTGAGAGGCCAGTAGCAGTCAATAGTCAGTGTCCCTGGTGTTCATCTGGACTGTTTCTGACCTCAGTCATTTCCTGTTACCTCCGCTCACCAAACTTCTTGACTCTGCCACTCAGCTCCCAAGACCTGCCTCGGGCCCCCATACTCCTTTGGAATACATTTCCCTGATTTTAAAGTTTGGCACTTGCTTTAAGATGTGGTCTATCCACACTCCTTCCAGGAGGAAGCCAGCCTGGTCAGCCGCACAGTTTCCAGAGTGGAGATACCAAGCAGGGTATGGGCAAGTGCATGCCTGGGCTACCCTTCAAGAGGCTCTCTGCTGTCCCATTGTGAACAAGTCTGGGGGACGCTGATGGCTCACCTGGAAGCCAGACCCTTATGGAGCAGAATTGAAACAGACATTTGTTTATGATGGCCCACAAGTGCCCTTTGGTCTTTTGTGAACCTTTCCACCTGTTCTCATCTGATCTGTAGATTGGAAGGTATTATTTAACAGCCTGGCTCTGATAATGGCTGTTAGAATATGGAGAAGATACACAAATTTCATTCAGACAAGGGATTTGGACTACCTCTGCATAACACTGCAGAATTTATATTAAACTTCTATGTTAAATACAGAGTGGGGCACTTGAAGATCCAGGCTCAGTGTGCTATCACCTATTGGGGTCTCTGAGTAAGCCCTCTCCCAGTTCACCTTCGTCCTTGCCTGGGCTCAGCCAGAGTCTCAGCCCTGCTCCCCATAGCCTTGTTGAAGGGTCTGGCCTGAAGGCCCAGGGAACCCAGCACAGGGTCTAGTACCCAGTGGCCTCATATTCAGCCCCCAGCTGCCTGGGCCCCCCCCAAGCATGCACCATGGGAGCACTCTCAGGACTCGGGACTTAAGTAGAATATGGTTTCCGAGAGGCCTCTTCTTCTGTGAAGCTACTTCTATGAAGAAGCCAAAATAGATTTCTAATAACGTGACTTTGTAAATCCAACTGTGGACACACTGTACCACACTGTAGACAAAGCTGGTCCTGCCAGCAGATTATCAGGACGGCATGCGCTTGGGCAGTTTTTCAACTCGGAGATGGTTTTGCTTCATACCATCTACTCTTGCTTCCACACGTTCCCCTGGTGACCAACTAGCCAGAGGTAAAGGTGTGAGGGTGGGGCTGTAGCTTTTTCTCTGCATTTGAGTACAGCCCCACAGAGAAGCTGCCAGCACGCTCACAGCCACACAGTCCGGCCCCACAGAAGAGGGTCTTTCTTCTTCCCCCATGTCACCATCCTCTGTCCTTCCTCTTGTGTTGGAAGATGGGCCTGGGCCAGGGCAGGGCCTAGAGATACAGTCATCCCAGATCAGAGCGTGGGAAAGACAAATAACACATTAGAAAACAAGGAGGAGGGGATCTAATAACAATGCCACCCAGCATTTACACAACACTTTATAGATTACAAGTATTGGAATGTGGTCTTTTCTGAACCACTCACCCTTTCCACCTGTTCTTGTCCAAACTGTAAATTGGAAGATATTATTTAACAGCATGGCTCTTATGGCAGCTGTTAGAAACAGTTTTCAAAACAAAAATGAACAAACTTTCATGTCCTCTGCAGACTAGGGTGTGTCCTATAGAGACTCATGTGGCATCATCCATTGTGCTGATGCCCAAAACAGACGCTGCTGTGTACGAGGTGAGAACAGCTGCGACAACTAGGAATAAGCACTGAAGCTCTCCAGCTCTTTGCGGCTCAATTTAGCAGGGTCCTGGGCTTTGGGCTGTCCCTTTCCAACCTGCAGAAGAAAAGGAGAAACTTCAGACTCTCCTACGAGGAGATCCTTATAGCATTCTTATGGGGTATGAATTATTGTCCCTATTTTACAGATTAAGAAAATGAAGCTTGAAGTGGTAAAATGAATTACTCAGGCTCAACAACCAATGTGAAGTAAAGGAGGGACCTGAATCTAGTTCTCCTGGCTCCAATTCATGTGCTTATTTAACCACACACAAGGCAGACCTCCAGACTGCATTGGCCCAAACAGTGTCCTCTACAATGGTGGAAAGTCTAGCTGGCTGTAATGTTGGGTTGTAGCTGAAGTGGCAAGGAATCCCAGCAGGAACCACCCTTGTGACCAATGGCAACATCTTTCTTGGACCACAGGTGGAGGCTCGGTCCACCTGTCGACCTCATGCTATTAGCCCATAGCATGAGGCTAATGGTTGGGGACGGGGATGCTCTCCGTGCCTTAATTTCTCCAGGTGTAAATGGAGAATATAATTATACACACACCTTATACCATTCTGTGAATATTAAATGAGATAATTCATGTGAAGACACTAGCAGGCTGCTTCATACGGAAAAAAAATCCCCAATCGATGCTAAGTCTCTCCTTCCCACTCCTAAATGCCCTGACGGGAATCAACTCAGCCCCCAGGCTCAGTGGTTACCTAGGAACAGTGTGACCCTAACAGAGCCTAAGGCCACCCATGTCTTGGAATGGCTCCCAAAGACTTGCTAACTTTAGAAAATCATTTAAAGTCATTTATTCTGGTTCCATGTGAGGGTTGAGGGGGAAAAAAAAAACAAACATAAAGTCACTTATTATCCCCTCTCTGACCCCTACCCTCCAGCCTTGGAAAGGAGACAGGTCCAGTTTGTGGCCCACACCCTGCCAACTAGCTTGGGAACAGCCCTAATTTAGAACGCAAACTGCCCAATAAGAGTGAAACCTGAATACATGCTATGATCTTGGTTATATCATGTGAGTTAGACCCTCACTCTCCCTGGGCCTCTAAAATTAAGATTTGTATTAGAAGATTCCCTAAAATCCTGACAGCCCTGAAACCGGGTGGAAACCTTCTTATAAGCACACCCTTTCATAGCCGGACTTCAGGGCTCTGCCCCAGACACTAGGCCCACGCAGAAGGAGTTCCAGAATCTTACCTCTTCATAGATAGTGCTACTGAAGGATAGGCTGTGATTGTTCTTCTTGGATCCAGACTAGAAATTCAGAGAGTAAAGAATGCTTAACTTCAAGACGAGAGATGTTCCACACCTACCTGATGTGAGAGGTCCCAAAAAAGAGACTCAGGGCCCAGGAAACCACTGAGGTTTCTTCAACCAGAAAGTGAATAGAATCTCCTACTCCAGGAGTAAACAGTGGTGTTTGTGGTCTCCAGGGAAGGCACAATATATACAGTACTTATCTATGATATGACATTCCTGACCCATAGTCAGAATTTAGCATTCCACACCCACACCTGCCTCAAACCCACACATGCATACATTCCTAATGCACACACATATATCCCTCAGGCACTCCTAACACAAATACTGCCCCAAACCATGTATCTCTTCAACACGGCATACACACACCCTAATGCAAATGATTCTGGCACATAAATAATTGCCAATTCTAGTACATACCCTGAACACGGTGGTTTTATGAACCACTGGAATTAAGAAACATATTCAGTATATAGAGTTTTCATAACATAATACCAAAGCATGTGAACACAGTGCCTGTGAACATCTATATATCCTTATAATTAAAAATAAATCTTTCTCATGGTGGGATCCAAGTTGGTTGAATGACTTATTAGGAGGACGATAAGTGAAAAGCCTGAAAATCTGTCCTAAATCCCTTCAAATACACGGTCCCTGACCTGCATGGACTTCCACAGTTTTGTGGATTTGGCTTCATACTGGGGCTCCAGCCTTGGGAACCACTGTTCCCATCCCCTCCCATACAAGGTAAACACAGTGGCCACGGGTACCAGGATACCCGACTCTCTGGTTCCAGGTACACATGAGAGGTCTGGGCTCAGCTTAGGGCAGGATTTGAGTACACCAGGATGCACTGCCTCAGTCCAGAGGCCTCTACTGGCAAGTGACTGGGCAGGACCTTGCCAGAACCTCAAAGTCAACATTGCATCTCTGTAGGTCCAGTCTACTTCTGCAGCTCCAGGCATGATGTTGCTGCCTTACAAAACCCCCCAGTATCTCTCGCCATGACCTCAGCTGGCCTGTTAAGGACCTGTGGTGCTCTGCACAAAGCATCTCCTTTCTGCTTCTGATTATCCATTATCTCTCATGTAAACTCCTAGGAAATCCTCTAACCCACTGTTCTCCTAGTCCAGAAGCTGTTAGTTTTCTCCAGACAGAACCAGAAAGGCATTTCTTGTTGGCCCCTTAACATGTACATGCAGTCATTTCACAGAAGCTACTCGGACAGGTACACACAGGGGAGGACGCCTCGCTGGGATGTGCACACACGCCCTCTGCAAACACGTGCCTGCACACGCACATACGGAATGCACGTCTGCATCCACAGCACCCCTGCCCCCAGGGAGAGACTCACCTTCCTGGAAGGCTGTATGAACGAATATAACGTATTTGCAGTTTCTTGTGATGTGGAAGCAGAAGACTGATAAGAAGAGAAATAAAACCATTTCAGAAGCCTAGATCTAAGACAGCCCTAGGAAGTCATCTTTTCCACCCCTCCGCCTCAACCCTGCCCAGATGGAAACTCAAAGTGTTAGCTGAAAGAACCCTGGATTAGCCAGGAGGTCGGACAACCTAGGTGCTAGTCCCACTCTGTCGTTCATGATAGCTACTGTTTGTTGAGCACTTACTTTGTATGTGTAGTCCCCCCTAGTTCTCAAACACTCCTATGAGGTAGAAATGATTATAACTTGCCCTACACCACAGATGAGGCTCCAAAAGGATAAATAGCTCAAGCCAGACAGTGTACACAGAGCAGAGGCAGGATTCAAACCCAAGGCTCCCCAGGGCTCTTTCCTCAACACCTCCATGCCTCCCTTTGGCAACATGCCTTCCTTCTCTGGACCTGAACCAGGTGTTCTGTAAGGCAGGTAAACGATCCTCCTTTTAAGAGGCTCCAGAGGAGGAATCTCATTCTCACTCAACAGCTAGTCTGAGAGGAGCCCTTCCTTGCATTTATTCAAACTCCTCTCGTTGGAATTCAGTGTGGCTAAAACCAGGGAACTGACAGATATCAATCACCTTTATGATCAGATTTTCCTTGTCCCAAAGCTTAGCCTCCATGCTGGGGATGTTGCTCTTTCAGGTCTCAATTCTTTTTCTTTAAGCCATTTTTATCAGAAATTTTTTATCACTGGCCACCAGGAGGCGGTGTTTTCTTTGGGAGAGATGTCCTATGGCAGGTTATGGATGTCACCTTAGCTGTCAATATTAGAGGATGCTTCTCCACTTTCTGGGTGCATCTATGTAATCCCAGAATGTTAGAGGTGGTGGGGGGCATGGAATGGGGACTCAGGGCCATTGGGCTCAGCTTTGTCATGACCTACCTAAGTGGTCTTGAGCACATTAGTTAACTTAACTAATGCTTCTTCATCTGTGATATGGAATTTAGACCACATCTAAAGTACTTAGAACAGCCTTCATGAGGCTATTAAGTTAGACTTAAGAAAATTGCTAAGTCATAAGATAAAAGGAACCACTACAAATCTATTCTTTCCTGAAAACAGGTATAATAAGGAATAGAGATTAAGAAGTGCAAGGGCCTCGTGTACTGGAAGCAGCAAGAATGAAAATCAGAAGTTGAGTCCCCCAATAAGTTTCCTCCTTCTGTAGATGTTATCTGGGCCAGACCTTCTGCCAGGCATGGGAAAGAAGGAATGCCTATGTTGGGCTTTCCAGCTGTGCTAAGACACTCCAAAACCACACTGGTCTTTTCAAATAACTTCTTAATGCAACTGAGGCTAAGCTGTCATCTGGACCCCAGGAACACCAAGATCTTAGTCTGCCAAGGGTGGGAGTTTCAGGGGAGGGAGACACAGTGCATCAGGAAGCCCCATAGATAGGCATGGAGTGGATTTGGAGAAACCAAATGGGTACCTGGGACTGGATCGTAGAGTAGATGGTGCTCCCTTCTGCAGGAGAATTCTGCTTTGGCTTCTGCTCCTGCATAAGAGATAGTAAAGAGACATGGGGTAACATGAGCAGACAGCTGGGTCAGTCCAGATTGGGGTTGAATAGGGAAAGACAGTAAAAATAAGGGGGAACCCTGGGAGCCTGGGAAGGAGAGGGCAGGACTGCAGATAGCCTCATCACTGGTCACCCCAGGATGGGGAGAGACAGCAAGAAGAGCCATCAGCTGTGGAGCAGTTAGTGTCAAGATCAAGGGACCACCCAGGTGTGAAGGGATTTGAGCAACCCTGTCCCTTTGTTCACTTGAGTAACTAGAAACCCTTCTTGCCTTTGCTGACTTCTCTACTAAATTTGCCAGGTAATCACTGATAGTGGGCAGAGCTCTGAGCACTGCAATTCAGAGGGTTTAAACATTTCAAAGACTGAACACACTGAAGCCCCCTCTCTCGATGCAGCCTACCAGGCCAGCTTGCCCTGGGCAGCTGGGTATTGGGTGGACTTCTGGGCCCAGGGCCAAAAAGGAACACATGGCCCTTCCTGCTTCCCTCCTCTCTTCCTGCCCCCAAGGAGATCATGGGTTAGGGGTGGAAGTATTTCGTCCTGCTGACCCTGAGCACACATTGCCAGTTTGGGCTCTGGTGGGGAGCTGGTGAAGGCTAGCAGGACCCATGAGACTAGGTGCAAGCTCAACTCTCAGAAGCAAGAAGAAGCTACAGGAGCAGAGAAACATCAGCTGTCCCTGGAGCTTGGAGAGCCATGGGCACCTGTCAAGAAGCAGGAGTTTGCTGCTTTTCTCTCCTGTCCACACTCATGTGAAGTCTCTCCAGAAAGATTGGAGGTGGGTCCCAAAGTGAGACCCATGAAACTCAGTATTTGGGTCTTCAAACTGGAACACAAAGACAGCAGGTAGAGGCCAGGGAGGCTGAGCCCTAGTGTTCTAAGTCGTTATTTTCCCCGCTGGTCTCCTACTCTAAAGTTGTCTTCATTTTGGGGGGAAAAGGCTATTTTAAGTGAGCACATGGGCATCAGTGGCTGTGGATGTACATGGAATTGTACCAGAACCTGGTAGCAGTAAGAGAAACAAAGTCTTTTATTTTTCACACCCCAATATTCCACTGCTGGGGCAAGAACACAGGCAAGGGGAGCTGCCCTAATGCAAACCGAGCCCAGACCTCAGAGCGGCTGCTTGCCTGTTCTGAGGCCTCCCAGAGTGGCACATCTGGGCAGAAGGGCTCCACCATGTGTGCTTCCTGCGTGCTGCTGGGCCTCCGCCACCAAGCAGCAGGGATGGCCACAGGAAAAAGGCACTTCCTCCCCACCTGCCACCACCCCTTCTCACAAGCACTTCAGTAGCCACTGCCTGACCCACTGGGGCCTTTCCCGGGGGGCCTGCCACCACATCCTGCCCTGCTCAGAGGCCCCGAAGCGGGGGTGTCTTCAGCCCCTCTGCAGCTTCGTCCCCTTCTACGTCTCGGGGTGACAGGCAGACTTGGTTTGGCACAGAGAGCCAGTGAGACAGGGTCCTGGAGGAGCCCGCTCTGCTACCCATCGGCTTTGTGCCGAGCTGGTTACTGCTCTCTGTGCCCCAGCCAGACTCAGGCCTCTTCTTCCTAAGAGGCTGTGAACTCAGCCTGCTGAGCCAGCTACAGATCTGCTGTGCTTTGCCTGGCCACACTCTCCAGCCTGGGTCACGATTAAGGGACTCAAGAAAGAAAGCTCTGACTTGCTATGAAAAGAGAATTTGTGGTCAGATGCAATAAATACGAGAAGGCTGCACTCCTGGCGCTCAGCCCAGCTGGCGCGTGGCAGAGGTGAGGACGTGAGGGGTGGTGTGCGGAGGAGGCGGAGGCGGCAGCATCCCACCCCTGCTATTGACTCCTGCTGCTCCCTCCCACTCGGCAGGTGCTATTCTGCACCAGGTTGCCCCTCCTTCCCCCCTTCATCTTCTCTGCTCCCTTTGTTTTTATTTTCCCCCTGTGGCCAGAGCTAGGAAACTGACATAGAAAAGGTAGATGGGAAGGGCTGAGGATCATGTCAAGAGGACAATTGTCAAGTCATCTTTGTCCTCCTGCTCCTAATGTCCATCATCAAAAAGACATCTCCCAGGGCAGTTGAGAGCAATCCCAGCCCCCAGGATGCCATACTTGATTTCTCCTAGTCTGCAGGTCCTTAACATCTTCATAAATTGTCAGAAATTCCTCAGCGCTGGTCTCTGCAGGAAGAAGGAAGCAAAGAATAGAGCTGAAGAAACTTCCAGAGAGCCTCTAGCTCAGGCTTTCATTTCTAACGGGTCCCACCTCCACGCCAGATGGCCAAGACCTTAAGAAAAGTCCTAGAAAGGAGGCAGGTGGGTGCTCTTCCCAGAATGCCCAAAGAGCACAGAGGCAGCAGCTACACCAACACACCTCCTCCTGCAGGCTGGGCAGCCCCCACCCGGCCAGCCACCTGCAGAGAAATCTGCACATTGGCATCTGATTGTGAACACCTGGCAGCCACCACAGAAGGTGTGAACTGGGAGAGAGGGCCTAGCAGCCACTGCTTGCTCACCCCCACCCATGCACACACCCACCCAACACTCCCTGCTCCCACACCTCCCCCTGGACCCAGGGCCAAGCCACTGCGTCCAATGCCTCAGGCAACAGCCCCTCCTCAAGGACCTTCCACTTACGTGGCTGCTTCCTCTTCCTCTTCCACACACAGAAGCAGGCGAGGGTGCCAAGCAGCAGTGTGATTAGAATCACAGTGGTCACCAGAAAGGGCCCAAATCTGAATTCTGCAGGATACAGAAGGCACAAGGAATGAGCTGTCAGCTCCCCCTCTCCTTTCTTCCCACGTGTCTGTGGCAGGGGCTGCCTCAAAACCCACTCTCCTCTGTAGCATGGCTGGTCTCCTCATGCCCTGTGAAGTCACCCTCAAGGTTTTTCTCTTTGCTCAATTGGGTGCCCTCCCCTGAGTGATACCAAGAGCATGGATATTATTGATAACATCTGACAGACCTGGCTCAACTACTAACTGTATGAGCTCTGCACTACTTATTTAACCTCTCGGAGCCTCTTGGGTTTTCTCACCTGTAAGAAGGAGATAGTGCCATCTCCTTATAGGGGTTAATTACATGACCTAATACAGGCGGCCCACCATATCTGTGGGTTCTCTGTCTGTAGATACAACCTACTGCAGATCCAAAATATTTGGGAAAAAATTGCATCTATACTGAACGTGTACAGATTTTTTCTTCATTAGTCCATAAATAATACAGTATAACAAGTATTTACATAGCATTCACATTGTATTAGATGTTATAAGTAATCTAGAGATGATTAAAGTATATGGGAGAATGTGTGTAGGTTATATGCAAATACTGTGCCATTTTATATTAGGGATTTTGGAATCTGTGAGGGGTCCTGGAACCAGCCCCCCATAGATATCAAGGGATTACTATATAGGTAAAGCATCCGGCACAGCACATGTTACATCCATTCATTCGTTTTTAACTTGGCAAATATTCATTGCATAGCTACCATGTGCCAGGCAATCTTCCATTCACCTTCCTGCTATTCCTGCCTTCGTGGCACTTTCTCATTTGAACTTCTACATTTAACATTTGTGTCACACATGGAGCCTGATATATAATCCAACCAACAAGAGGAAGAAGGGATGCGATAGCTCTTACTTCACCAAAAAAAAAAAAAAAAAAAAAGAAGGGAAAGGAATTAAGTGTCCCAAGTGCTGGCCGACTAGGCTCTTTACAAACATTATCTCATTTATTCTTAACAGCAATCCCATGATGTATTTATCATTCTCATTTCACTCAAGAAAAAAAATTGAGATTCCAAGAGGTTAATGAATCTATCTGAGATCACAGAGCTTGTGAATGATGAAGACATGGTTTACATGACCCAGAAGCCAGGATCCTTGTCACTACATATTGCCTCAGTCTTGTTTCATTTTTGCTCAGAGTACTTAATTTTGTTGCCTCAATTTGGCTGCATGTCTATTAAAGACAGGGACTGCATGTGGTTTGTTTTTTTTCCTGTGATGCCCACACTGATGGCACATTAAGTCTTTGTCTACCTAGTAAGAAGTGCTCATTTAACTCAGGTAACTCCCAGGATGAGCGTAAGCAATGGCCTGAGAACTCTTGGGGTAGCCCTGTGATCCTCCTGATGCCCCCATCCAGGCCACTGCTGTACAGTGTAGTTACCTCTTGAGGAACTATGGCTTTGGGAAAGTTATCACTCACAAAGAGAAAGCAGGTCTCCATCAGCCTCTCAGAGGAAGAAAATAATGGCCAGGGTGCCATTGCAGGACTGTGACTCACCAAGCAAATATGCATTCCCCATGTGAAGGAAAAGATTGCAGCTCCCAGAAGAAGACGCAGGTAAAATTTTTCCCAGGCTAGGACAGGCCTGACTTTACAGGAACTATGTGCCTAGAGGTTAGGACCCCCTTGAGGAAGAGCTACAAGGCACTGGGGGAGGAAGCCAAAGGCTCTTATCTCATGCCCAGGTCTCTCTTGTACATAAGCATGCCCATGGGGTCCAACACCTTCAGCCCCTGTTATAGCCCAAAGTGCTCCACTTACCCTGGGCATTCTGACAACCCTTAGTGAAGTTGAGGGTGTGGGTTTTCCAGCTGACAGGGTTGCTGACATTGCAGGTGTATATGTACATGCCATCAGCGTCAATCTCCAGGTGTGTGACGTTCCTTGACCTCTGGATCAGCTCGCTCCCTCTGTACCAAGCATAGCTCACATTGCTATCCCTGGAGACTGAGCAGTACAGAGACACTTGGCACCTTCCTCCATCCAGGACCTTCCCCTGCCCCAGCAGGAGGGGTTTCTCAATTTCATCTGGAAGCAGAGATTCTAATCAGAAAAGCACTGGAAATACAAGTCCTACAGGAATCAGAGGGATTGGATGAATAGTCCTATAGACTCACCAAATACAAGGACCTCGAACCTGCTTCTCCAAACATTTCCAGTCTCATTGGTGACCTCCACACAGTAGAGGCCACTGTCCTGCTGCTGAGCTGCGTTGATGAAAAGAGTCAAGTTCTTGATTATAAACCTGGATTTACTGCTGATATTATTTGAAGTTGAAGATTCATAATTAATATTGGACCCATTCCTCCACGTCAGTATCTTCTGATATGATGAATGTGAGGCCAGCTGCATCTTCCATTCAACAGAGCTTATATTTGTCTGTGTGGTGTTGAGCCATAACTGGAGAGACTCTCCTGAGAGACCAACCACATGGTTGGTTGAATCTGGACATTCTAGGAAAGAGAACCCAAGATGAAAGTGGCAAGAAGAATGTCAGGCCTGAGCAATGTGGGCAGTTGGATGTGACTTCCCTTAAGCCAATAGGATGGGGGGAGTATGAGGATGCCAGAGCCTCAGAGATCCTTAGAGTGTACTTCACTTATCTGTGCCCTCTCTCCCCAAGCTCTGTGGCCCTTGTCTGAAGGAGTCCACGGACCAATAATAATACCTTAAGTCCCTTCAGTATTTACTATGCGATGGTCAGGTTTCAGACGCTTTACAGGCTTTAACTACTTAATTTCACAATGACCTTATATGAGGGTCTTATCCCCATTTTCCAGGTAAGGAAGAAAGAACTTAAGTAAGTGGCTCAAGTTACACAATGAGAATGATGAGGTTGAAACCCAGTCCAATTGTCTTTAGAGGGTGAATTCTTAACCACGATGTTCTAAACACCGTATCTGATGTGAGTCCCTCCAAGCAGCACTGAGGCAACTACTGGTGGCCAGTGGCGACTGCCAGAAATTCTGGATGGCTGGACCCCCGTAAACTAACCCTTCACCTGAACTCATGACCCCTCTACTGTCCTCCCAAAGAGCTGAATTCATGGTCCTCTCTTGTAGCACTTGGCACATTGGATCGTAGTCATTGTTCATTAATGTTCCCCATGTTCATTAATGTTAGTGACCAAAACGTCTCCACAAAAATTGCTCCCTAAAAACAATTAGAAAGAGAAAAATAAAAATACAGCTCCTCTGTCAAGGGATCAAGATGAGAGCTAATGAATACGGGGTGTGACAACCCTGGAGCAGCCCAATGCAGTCGGTGGAGAAGAGTAGACATTCCGGCAGCTATTGTTAGCAGAGACCCCATGTGGCATGGCCCAGCAGGCATAGGAAATAAAAAAGTCTGTCTAGGTGGGTTGAGGAGGGTCAGGAGAGTCTACAGGAGAGAATAGAGATGAGGATAGTCATACAAATGGCTCTGTTACAATGGAGGCCATTAAGAAGAGGGCAGTGGAGACAGAGGGATGTTTAGACATCCAGTGCATTATAAATGCACTTTCTCCCAGCCACACCGTTACCCTGGCATTTTGTCAAGAGACTGAGTACATAATTAAAGGACTTGTAATACTATTTGGTTGATGAAATATGTTACTTTCAGAAAATCAAGTACCACATGTTCTCACCTATAAGTGGGATCTAAATAATGAGTACACATGGACACAGAGAGTGGAGCAATAGACATTGGAAACTTGGAAAGGTAGGAGTGGGATGTGGGTCATCCCACCCCTGATTTCTCATTACCTAATGGGTACCATGTATACTAATTGGGTGAAGGTTACACAAAATGCCCAGACTTCACCACTACTCAATATATCCACGTAACAAATCTACACAGGTACCCCAGAGATCCACCAATCCATCCACATATGTATGTTTATTTGATATAAATGTGCCTAACAGTAAAACACATAGGGCTCCCATTTGTACTTCACTTATATTTGTGTGATTTGTACTGGCTCTATCCATTACCAAAACAAAATCTTCTCAAAAGCAGAGGCTGTGCCATGAATCTCTGTGTCTCTGTCTCCAATAGTCTTAGCAATATTTATGAGAAGAGCTCAACCTACCAAGCATTGCATAAAGGCCCTGAGAACAAAAGTGAATGAAAAAAATAATCACTAAACCTACAAAAAAAGACACACTGTCACCATAAATTATTTAGTCTTTATTGAATCTCACTGTACCCATACCCTGAAGCGGTAGGGCCTCTTCATATATAAGACATGGCTCCTGCCTCCAGAGAGTTCATGATCTAGAAACAGAATATTCCATCACTTTACAGCATGCACTTAATGGTTTAGATAAATGATCATTTAAGGAATTCTAATTCCAATAATAAAAAACCAGATTCAGACAGGCTAAGCAACCCTCCTACTGATAATAACTAGAAGAAAAATGAACATAATATGAAAGCATGTTATTAAAGGCATCAGAGAGCTAATAAAGTGCAAAAATAGTGTGGGGCCAAGATCTGGAAGAAGGAAATTCAAAGAGGTAAGACCAATATTTTGACTTCTGCTCCCTGGAGGCATCTTCTTATTCCATAAATGGCAGCTGAAAGGCTGAGGAGCTGAGCAGAGCTTACAATATATTGAAGGAACGAAGAGAACATGGAGTTCAGGGCCCTCCTGTTAGAAAGTGAGTATACCTGAAGCCCATCAGAGTTGGGGCTGGTACCTTGTACTAATGATAAGAGTGAACAAGAGATGACCAGCCCTTATAGGAAATGACGTTCAATCTTGAATCATCACAACCCTGTATTAGACTAGAATATCTAGTAGCTCTAATCTGGCTGCCTACTAGATGCAAATATAAATTTTTCCTAGAGGAAAAGAACATTAACTGGAACAATAAATTATTTCTATAAATTTTCATATACAATATCCAAAACTGAAAACATAAAATAAACATAAGGAGAGGAAATGTGTCCAAAAGCCAAGAGAAAAAAATAGACCACAGAAACAGATCCCAGGGAGCATCTAGGTAATAGAGTTATGGGTCATAAATTTTAAAATAATTATGTTTAGTATGTTCAAGAAAATAAAATACAAGTTTGAGAATTTCATCAGAGAGCTAGTATGATAGAACACAAAAATAGCCAGGTCTGTGCAATGTGGCTTTGCAGCTCCTCCCATCATCAACAGCGGGGTCCATTCACGTCCCTGTCCTTTGTAACTGGGCTGGTCTTCTGAATAGAATGCAGCAAAAATGATGTTGTGCCAGTTCTAAGCCTAAGTCCGAAGAGGACTTGCACATTTCTACTTGTTCTCTTGGAAACTTGTCTAACTAACATGTGAACAAGCCTAGGATAGCTTGTTGAAAAATGAGAGCTCACCCAGTGCAAGATAAACCAACACAGCTGAGGCCCTGTTAGATGAGTCACCCCTAGCCAATTGGGCAGCTGACCATACATGCATAAGTGATGCAAACTGAAACCAAAAGAACAGACTAGCTGAGCCTAACCCAAATTACCAACTAGCAGAATCATTGACAGAGTAGGTGATTGTTATTTTAAACCACTGAATTTTAGTTTTCTGTTTTGTTTTGGATCACTTGAGCTCAGGATTTTGAGACCAGCCTGAGCCCTGAGCAAGAGTGAGACCCCATCTCTACTAAAAATAGAAAAAATTAGCCTCGCGTGGTGTTACGTGCCTGTGGTGTTAGCTTAATAAGGAAGGTGAGGCAGGAGGATCGCTTGAGCCCAGGAGTTTGAGGTTGCTGTGAGCTAGGCTGACACCACCCCACTCTAGCCCAGGCCACAGAGCAAGACTCTGTCTCAAAAAAATAAATAAATAAAAAATAAAAGAGAGAGAAAAGAAAGAAAGCAAAAGGAAAAAGAATATGACTAAGGACCTACAGATATTTTAAGAGACAATAAGAAAATATTATGAACAACTTTATGTCAATAAATTTGAAAATTCAGATTAAATGGATAAAATTTCTTAGAAAATACAACATACCAATACTGACATAAGAGGATACAGAAATTCTGAAGAGTTCTATATCAAAGAAATTGAATTCATACGTTAAAATCTTTCTACAAAACTCTAGGCTCAGACAACTTCACTAGTGATTTTTCCAAACATTTACAAATTAGTACCAATCTATTCCACAGAACAGAAGCTCAGTTTTTGAGGCCAGTAAAACTCTGATAGCAAAATTTGACAAAAACATAATGAGAAAGAAAAATCACAGGCCAATATCTCTCATGAATATCAATGAAAACTGAATATTAGCAAACTGAGTAGAATAGTACATAAGAAAAATAATACAACCTGAACAATTGAGACTTGTCCCAAGTATTCAAGGTTTATTAGCATTTTTTTTTTCCTTTTTGAGACAGGGTCTCACTCTGTTGCATGCCTTAGAATGGAGTGGTGTCATCATAGCTCACAGCAACCTCAAACTCCTGGGCTCAAGTGATCCTGCTGCCTCAGCCTCCTGAGTGGCTGGGACTACAGATGTGTGCCACCACGCCTGGCTAATTTTTCTATATTTTTGTAGACATGGGGTCTTGCTCTTGTTCAGGCTGGTCTTGAACTCCTGGCCTCAAGTATTTCTCCCAACAGGCCTCCCAGGGTGCTAGAATTATAGGCATGAGCCACTGCCCCCGACCAAGGTATATTTTTTAAATCCATCACCATATTAACAGAATAAAATAAAAAAATAAAATCATTATATCAATAGGTGCAGAAGAGACATTTGTTAATATTCAATACACATTCGTGATTTTAAAAAAACTTTCAGCCAACTGAGAATAGAAAGGAACTTTCTTAATCTGATAAAATCTACCAAAAACATACAGCTAACATCATATTTAGTGATAAAATATAGAATGCTTTCCTCCTGAGTTCAGGAGCAAGACAAGAATTCCATGATTACCACTTTTAATCAGCATTGTACTAGAAGTCATGGCTAGTTCTACGAAGCAAGGAAAATAAAGGAATAAAAATTAGAAATGAATATAAAAAATAGTTATTATTCACAGAAGATATAACTGTGTATACAGAAAATCCAGAGGAATATATGAGAAACTATTTGAATGTATGTGTCAGTTTGGCAAGATTGTTGGATATCAAGTCAATATATAAAAATGATTTGTATTTCTACATACTAGTGTGAACAGATAGAAAATGAAATTTTGAAAACAATACTATATGCAATAGCACAAAAAATTAAATTCCTAGAAATAAATTCAACAAGAAATATTTAAGATCTATACATATAATGCAACAAGGGATTTCTAAGAAAAAATAAAGAGCTAAAAAAATGCAGAAGTATACCATTGCTTTGAATTTTTTCCTTTTTTTCCCCCCTCATACTACCTTGTCTAAGATCATGTTTTTTTATTGGAAGACTTAATATTGCTAAGATGTCAATTCTTCCTAAATAATAGATTCAGCAAAATTCCAATAAAAATTCTAACAAGTTATTTTTATAGCAAATGG